AAGGAGGCCTGCCCTCTTCATTTTCTTGCATCCTTACCGGTTTGGGACTTGATATTTCGCCTTCCCGGCTGAATCTGTGGAGCTGCAAGGGAAACATAGCATCAAGTACCCAGTACAATTGGCCTAAAGCGGGTCGCAGAGTCATTTCTTGGCTAGGAGAAGAGATCTACCCTATTCTTCCCACCTTCTCAAAGCCACAAAGTGTACCAAGTTCTTTACAACCAAAAGAAAGAAAGAAAGAAAACAAAACAATAAATGGTTGCAAAGACAACATCAGCCAGTAGGTGGCACTGTTGACCATCACAACATTTGGATTTTGGCTTCCTCTGTTCCTTTACAGAAAGTCAGTTTTGGGATTGCCATGGCTATCATCCCTTATCCAATAAATCCCAATAAAGAGTGGAAAGCTGACCCTTTTCTTGTAGTAGATCCGCCACTTGTGGTACTCCTTCATCACCACCTCGATCCGGCGCTTCCAGTAGTTCCCCTCCAGTACAACGGCCTGACAAGGGAGACAGTCTTTGCGTCAACATCCCACTGGGTTTCTCTCCACGTAGCTGTTATCTTATGGGATTCTGCCCACTACACTGGCTCTTATGGGATTTCTACCCAGTAAACCAACCCCGAGGGATGTCTAAACAATTGGCCAGGTCTTAGGAGCTTCTCAATTAGGTTTCAAGGCATTCTGTCTGCTAAGTCGGCTCTTAGAGACTTCTGTAGGTGAAGACTTAGGGGCTTGTGTACATTAAGTCAAGTTTTAGGGAATTATGTGGGCTAAGCCAGGCCTTACTGGTTTCTGTCGACTAAGTTGGCTTTTAAGTGTTTGTACAAGTAAAGGCAGCATTTCCAGACACAAAGCCAGCTCTAAGGGGGTTGCATACATTAAGCCAGGTCTAAGGGGATTGCATACACTAAGCCAGGTCTAAGGGGATTGCATACATTAAGCCAGCTCTGAGGGGATTGCATACATTACGCCAGCTCCAAGGGGATTGCATACATTAAGCCAGTTCTAAGGGGATTGCATACATTAAACAAGCTTTAAGGGAATTGCATACATTAAGCCAGCTATAAGGGAACTGCATACACTAAGCCAGCTTAAAGGGAATTGCATACATTAAGCCAGCTCTGAGGGGATTGCATACATTACGCCAGCTCCAAGGGGATTGCATACATTAAGCCAGTTCTAAGGGGATTACATACATTAAACAAGCTTTAAGGGAATTGCATACATTAAGCCAGCTATAAGGGAACTGCATACACTAAGCCAGCTTAAAGGGAATTGCATACATTAAGACAGCTTTAAGACTGCATACATTAAACCAGCTCTGAGGGAGTTGCATACATTAAGCCAGCTCTAAGGGGATTGCATATATTCAACCAGCTCTAAGGGGATTGCATACATTAAACAAGCTTTAAGGGGATTGCATACATTAAGCCAGCTCTGAGGGAATTGCATACACTAAGCCAGGTCTAAGGGGATTGCATATACTAAGCCAGCTCTAAGGGGATTGCATACACTAAGCCAGCTCTAAAGGGATTGCATACATTAAACCAGTTCTAAGGGGATTGCATACATTAAACCAGATCTAAGGAGACTGCATACATTAAGCCAGCTCTAAGGGGATTGCATACACTAAGCCAGCTCTAAGGGGATTGCATACATTAAGCCAGCTCTAAGGGGATTGCATACACTAAACCAGCTCTAAAGGGATTGCATACATTAAACCAGTTCTAAGGGGATTGCATATATTAAACCAGATCTAAGGAGACTGCATACATTAAGCCAGCTCTAAGGGGATTGCATACACTAAGCCAGCTCTAAGGGGGTTGCATACACTAAGCCAGGTCTAAGGGGTTTCCATACATTAAGCCAGCTCTAAGGGGATTGCATACACTAAGCCAGCTCTAAGGGGGTTGCATACACTAAGCCAGCTCTAAGGGGGTTGCATACACTAAGCCAGGTCTAAGGGGTTTCCATACATTAAGCCAGGTCTAAGGGGATTGCATACACAAAGCCAGCTCTAAGGGGATTGCCCACATTAAGCCAGCTCTAAGGGGATTGCATACATTAAGCCAGCTTTAAGGGAATTGCATTCATTAAGCCAGCTCTAAGGGGATTGCATTCATTAAGACAGCTCTTTGGGGCTTCTGTCCACTAAGCTGGGTGTTGAGGTCTTCTAGTCCTTCACTTAAAGGCATTTATGCACCTCATCCAGGTCTTAGGGGCCTCTCTACACTAAGACATATCTTAGGGGATCCTATCTATTAGGCTGGCTCTTAGGGCCTTCTGTACATTAAGCCAGGTTTTAGGGGATTCTGTAGGGGAAACCAGGCCTTATGGGCTTTTGCTTCTGTTGACTAAGTTGGCTTGTAGGAGCTTCTACCAGTGAAGGCCGGTAGATGAAATTGGGAGGCAGAATGTAAAACAAAGACAAACTCATTTTTCTCAGAGGCTTAGAGATAAGGAGAGAAAAAGCAGGTGTGTGCGAAGTGAAGTCATGGGAATACCAGTGAAGGCAGCACTTGATGCTAAGCCAGCTCTAAACCAGGTTTTAGGGTTTCTCAACTAATTTTCAAGGTGTTCTTTCTCTTACGTCAGCTCTGTAGACTTCTGTAGGCTAACATAAGAATTACCATATATTCCGGCATATAAGACGACTGGGCGTATAAGACGACCCCCAACTTTTCCAGTTAAAATATAGAGTTAAGACAACTCCCATGCATAAGACTACACCCACATATAAGACGACCCCTGACTTTTGAGAAGATTTTCTTGGGTTAAAAAGTAGTCTTATACGCCAGAATATACTGTACTTCTGTACATTGAGCCAGGTTTTAGGGGATTCTGTAGGCTAAGCCAGGCCTTATGGGCTTCTGTCGACTAAGTTGTCCCTTAGGAGCTTCTACAAGCTGGCTTAGAGACACTAAGCCGGCTCGAAGGGGCTTCTGCCCACTAGGCCAGGTTTTAGGGGATTCCGTATCTCAAGCCAGGCCTAAAGGGAGGTCTTCTCTCTGCTCAAGGAAGACTCACTTCCGGCTTCCGGTGGGCGTCTGCTTCCGATCCGTCCAGCGGAGTGACAAAGCCACACACAGGGCTCTTCCTGCGTTCCACATCTGCAGCAGACAGAGACACGCATCAGGGCTACAACGTCATCTAGGATGCTGGGCAATGCAGTACCACCACCACCACCACCCCCCCCCCCCCCCCCCTGTAAAATAAGCAATATATCCCCAAAAATCTGGAATAGATTTGATGAAATCCTGCCTTTTGCCTCTCCTTTTTTTTCTCCCAAAAGGCCATTTGGAAATCCAGATTGCAACAGCTGAACTTTGGCAACCTCCTCCTGTTTGCGAAAGGGAGCAAAGCAGGAAGGGGGTGGGGGACCAGCGCTCCCTTTTGCCAAGTTCCAAAGTCCAGAAGACAAATTTCAGTCTCTCCGTGGATTCAGAAATCATGATTTTAATTATTTTGGTGGGTGAAAAACAGGGTGCAATATATACTCACATTGTATATACCAAGCTCTCCAGATGGCATTGTTCAGGCGGATCTTGTCCCGGCAAAGCAGGCGGAGACCCTTGAAATTCTTCCATTTGGGGGACACCAATTTGCCACTGAAACGCAAACGCAAAGGGATATGTGAACAACTTTGGAAAGCAGCCTTATCTGTCTCCCATCTATACATATCAAAGTCAGAGTATGTTGCATGTACGTACATTGGTTCGTACCACAAAGGCTCTGGTGTGGCCTGACAGATCCGGACCAAACCTGGCACAAAGACCCTCCATGTTCCAACTTAAAAAGTAAGGCAAGGGAAAGGAAAGGAAAGGAAAGGAAGAAAGAAGAGGTGAAGGAAGAGAGGGCAGGAAGGAAGGAAGGGATGGAGGAAAGGGGAAGGAAAGAAAGGAGAAGGAAGGGAAGGAAAGGAAGAAATAAATAAAAAGGGAAGGGAGAAGGAGGAGGAAGAGAAGGAAAGGAAGGGGAAGGAAAGGAAGGAAGAAAGAAGAGGTGAAGAAAGAAAGGGGAGAAAGGAAAAAGGAAGGAAGGAAGGAAAGAAGGAAGGAAGGGGAAGGTAGGAAGGGATGGAGGAAAGGGGAAGGAAGGAGGGGAAGGAAGGAAGAAATAGAAAGGAAAAGAAGAAAGGGATGAGAGGAAGATAAGCAAGAAAGAGAAAGAAGGGAAGGGAAAAAAGAGAAAAAGGGAAGGAGGAAGGAAGAGAGGAGGAAAGGTGAAGGAGGAAGGAAGAAAGAAATAAAAAGGAAAGAAGGATGAGAGGAAGATAGGAAAGGAAGAGAAAGAAGGGAAGGAGAAGGGAAGAAGGGGCAAAGGAAGGGAGGGAAGAAAGAAAAAGGAAGAGGAAGGAAGGAATAGAAAGGAAAGGAAGAAAGGGATGAGAGGAAGAAAGGCAAGAGAATGAAGGGAAGAAAAAGGGGTGATGGAAGGGAGGGAAGAAAGAAAAAGAAGGAGGGAGGGAGAAAGGAAGGAAGGGAGGGAGAGAGGGAAGGAAGGAAGAAAGAAATAGAAAGGAAAGGGAGAAAAGGATGAGAAGAAGATAGGCAAGAAAGAGAAAGAAGGGAAGAAAAGAAAAAAGGGGCGATGGGAGGGAGGGAAGAAAGAAAAAGAAAAAGGAAGGAAGGAAGGAAGGAAGAAAAAGGAAAGAGAGAAAGGGATGAGGGGAAGATTGGAAAAAAAGAGAAAGAAGCTAAAGGAAGAAGGGGCAAAGGAAGGGAGGGAAGAAAGAAAAAGAAGGAAGGGGAAGGAAGGAAGAGATGGAGAAAAGAGGAAGGAGGGAGAAAGAAAGAAAGAAAGAAAGAAAGAAAGAAAGAAAGAAAGAAAGAAAGAAAAGGAAGGGAAAGGAAGAGAAAGGAAGGGAAAGGAAGGAAGAGATGAAGGAAAGGGGAAGGAAAGAAAGGAAGGGAAGGGAAGGAAGAACAAAATAGAAAAAAGGGAGAAAGGGATGAGAGGAAGATAGTAAAGAAAGAGAAAGACGGGAATGGAAAGGAAGGGAAGGGGTGAAGGAAGAATGAAGGGGTGAAGGAAGGGAGGGAAGAAAAGAAGGAAGGAAGGAAAGAAGGAAGGAAGGAAGAAAAGGCAAGGTATATGGTGGAAAGCAAGGGAAGAAGGGAAGGAAGGAAGAAAAGAGAGAGGGAGAAGGGATATGAGGTAAATGAAGGAAGGAAGGAAAGAGTCACAAAGAAAATGCCAATCCAGGCAACGCAAGGTATCTCTGTTTAAGGGGATACAAGTTAAATCTGACTGTTTCCTGCTCATTTATCTTGACATCCCAAACAAATGCCAAGTGAAAGCCAAGAGATAGCTGGAACATGACAATAACACGTGAAAGGGGGCTTTGAAAAGGTCAGCCATGTCAACCAGACCCTCATTTCAGTTCAACGACAGATGAGAGGATCCCAACCCGGCTCCTCCTCACAGGCCGGCCTCCCTTCTGTTTGTTCGCCCTTTTTGTGTTGTTTTCGGCCCCAAATCGAAGGCGCTCTTTGACACATCTAACACCGAACGTGGCATAAGCTAATGTTGACCCAAGAAGCCAGGAAATAATAAGAACGCTGCGCCGGCTGCTTCTTTCCTCCTCTCTGGTTGCTGCGTCCGAGTTCCCAAATGTTTGCATTAGAGCCATTAGGCCTGAGCGCAGTTTCCCTCGACTGCGTTTCCATCATCTTCCGGATGGGAAAAACAAGCAAACACCATCTGGGGTGGAAAGAGCCTGAAAAACAAGATCGTGTGCGGAGGAAGATATTCCCTGCCCTTCTCTGCTCATTTTTAATTGAAATAGAGATGCATTGTGACTGAAAACCCAAAAGCACCCAGGCTAGGTCTTATTTTGCATGCTAAGCAGGGTCGGTCCTGGTTGGGATTTGGAGGGGAGACCACCAACAAGCCTATTTCGGAGGAAGGAACCGGCAAGAATCACCTCTAAGTCTTCCTTTCCTAAGGAAACCGTATTCGAATCCATAGGGTCCCCATACGTCAATAGGGAACTTGTACAGATACGGATGGAAATGAAAAATGAATGAGATGAACTTAAAATCTTAACTCTCACGTTTCCAAAGCCTTAAGGAGCCTAGAGGCACTAGATCTTGGAAGCTATGCAGGGATGGCCCTGGTTAGTCTTTGGACAGGATACCAGGTGCTGAAGGCTGCATTTAAGGGGGGAGGGGGGAGTTCCAGAAAAACCACCCTGTAACTCCATTACTTAATAAAACTATATGAAATTCATGGGGTTGCCATAAGTCAACAGATATTGTAAATAGACTGCTACCTTTCATGGCTGGTCACTCTCTTTTAGCCTGGCCCACCTCGAAGTAAGGAAGGAAGGAAGGAAGGAAGGAAGGAAGGAAGGAAGGAAGGAAGGAAGGAAGGAAGAAGAAGGAAGGAGGGAAAGGAAGGAGGGAGGGAAGGAAATAAAGGGAAAGGAAATGAAGAAAGGGAAAGAAGGAGGAAAGGAAGGGCGGGAGGGAGGAAAAGAAGGAAAGGAAGAAGGAAAGGAAGGAGGGAGGGACAGGAAGGAAGGAGGAGGAAAGGAAAGGGAAGGAAGGAAGAAAAGGAAAGAAAGGGAGGGAGGAAAGAAGGGAAGGGGAAGTAAGGAAAAAAGAGAAGGACTGAAGGAAAAGAAAGGAAGAGAGGAAAGAAAAGAAGAAGAAGAGAGGGAGGGAAAGAGAGAGGAAGGAGAGAGGGAAAGGAAGAAAAAGGAGGGGAGAGGAAAGGAAGGAAAGGGAAGAAGAAGGAAGGGAAGAAAAAGTGGAAGGAAGGAAGAGAAGGGAGGGAGGGAGGGGAGAAGAAGAAAGGAAGAGGAGAAATGAAAGGAAGAAGAAGGGAGGGAAGGAGGAAGGAAGGAGCAGGCAAGGATGAGGGAAGGGAAAGGAAAAAAGAAAGAAGGAGAAGGAAAAGTGAAGAGGAGAGAGGGAAGGAGGGAAAAGGAAAGGAAGAAAAGGAGGAAGAAAGGGAAGAAGAAGGAAGGAAGAAGGGAGGAGAGAAAGGAGAAAGAAATAAGGAGGGGAAAGGAACGTAATGGGCACTGATTTATTTATCAACACTCGTTTATAACCGAAGCATGTAATCTCAAAAAAAGAACCACAAAAGATGACCTTATTTCTCCTTCCACAACAAAGCAGGAAGTTCAAAAGTCCTGGGTGCAAAAGTCAGCGTCTTATCAGGAAGAATTCCCGATAAGGATTTTTTTTATCATCCGCCGCATGGCTATTTCTGTTATTAAATGTCTTGCATTCATCCCAAATCAGATCTACTTCTAAGTCTTTGGGCAAACAAGGATTGGGGATAAAGCTTGAGTGGAGGCACCTTTCCCCTAAGATAACAACTCTTCCAGGAGTGGATTTCCCTTCCTTCCGAAGGGGAGATTTCTCTCACTTCCTACTGTCTCATCTCCGTTCTCAATTGTGAGTCAGGCGTTTGTAACTCGGGGACTACCCGTGCTTCCACTTTTATATTAACCAACAGCGCGACTAATACCTAGTTGTGTCCAACTCTGAGGGTTGGTGCTCATCTCCATTTCTAAGCCGAAGAGCCGGCGTTGTCCATAGATGCCTCCAAGGTCATGTGGCCGGCATGACTGCAGGGAGAGCTGTTACCTTCCTGCCGAAGCAGTACCTATTGATCTACTCACACTTGCATGTTTTCGAACTGCTAGGTTGGCAGAAGCGGGAGCTCACCCCATTCCCCGGATTCGAACCGCTAACTTTTTGGTTCCTGCCTGAGTTCTACCTATTGGTCTACTCACATTGGCAAGTTTTCGAACTGCTAGGTTGGCACAAGCTGGGGCTGACAGCGGGAGCTCGCCCCGCTCCCCAGATTCGAACCGCTAACCTTTTGGTTCCTGCCTGAGTTCTATCTATTGCTCTACTCACATTGGCAAGTTTTCGAACTGCTAGGTTGGCACAAGCTGGGGCTGACAGCGGGAGCTCACCCTGCCCCCCTGGATTCAAACTGCTAACTTTTCAATCAGCAAGTTTAGCAGCTCAGCGGTTTAAACCACTGTGCCACCAGAGATTCCACTAATAATAATGATAATGATGACGATGCAGATTCTGAACAATTGGGCTAAATGACCTCTGGAGGGCCCCATCAACTCTAGAATCCAATAATAATAATGTCCTATATTATTATTATTATTATTATTATTATTATTATTATTATTATTATTATTATTATTGTGCAGACTCTGAATCATTGGGCTAGATGACCTTTGGAGGACCCCATCAACTCTAGGATCCAATAACAATAATAATAATAACAATAATAATAATACACTATATTATTGTTGTTGTTGTTGTTGTTATGCAGACTCTGAATCATTGGAGTAGATGAACTTTGGAGGGCCCCATCAATTCTAGGATCCAATAATAATTATAATACCCTTTATTATTATTATTATTATTATTATTATTATTATTATTATTATGCAGACTCTGAATCATTGGGCTGGAATTGGAGGACAATGTCAACTCTAGGATCCAATAATAATAATAATAATAATAATAATCTATATTATTATTATTTGGCAAAGTCTGAATCCTTGGGCTAGATGACCTTTGGAAGGCCCCATCAACTCTAGGATCCAATAATAATTATAATACACTATATTATTATTATTATTATTATTATTATTATTATTATTACTATTATTAATTGAATCCTAGTCCTCCAAAGGTCATCTAGCCCAATGATTCAGACTCTGCAAAATAATAATAATAATAATAATAATAATAATAATAATATAATAATACAAGTGTACTCTCAGTTAATCTATGGCACCTATGGAGATCAATAGATGTCGGATAAACGTTTCTGGTTGCATAAGAGTTACTCTTAATATATTATTATTATTATTATTATTATTATTATTATTATTATTATTATTATTATTTGGCAGAGTCTGAATCATTGGGCTAGATGACCTTTGGAGGACCCCATCAACTCTAGGATCCAATAATAATTATAATACACTATATTATTATTATTATTATTATTATTATTATTATATTATTTTGCAGAGTCTGAATCATTGGGCTAGATGACCCTCCAAACTCTACGGTTTGCAGACATCAGAGCAGGCATCTAATCCCATTTCCACGATTGTCTGCAAAGCCAACACTGGCCTTCTTTCCCAGTGCCAACAGTGGGGCAAATGGACTTATTTGGGTCCCATAACCTGAGGCCACTCAAGGCCACAGGTAAGCCCAGACTCACCTGTAGGCCAGGCTCATGCACTCAAAGAGCCGCGTCAAGGTGGGGTCGATGCCGGGAGGGTCGGGGGCCCGGTGGTGGCCGTGCGGAGAGGACAGCATGAAGTGACCGCTGTGGATGACCTGGGAACGGGCCGAGGTCCCGGCCTTGGGAAGGCCGCCGGCCAAAGCTGGACCGTCCGAGTCGGAATCCGAATCCAGGACCGGCTGCGGGGCCACCTGTGGGGCCAGGTAAGGCCCTGGTTGGACGGCCTCCATTGCAAACACAGGTGAGCCCAGGAAAGCAGAGTGCCCGGCATGAACGCTCCTGCTGACCTCCCCGAGCCAGCCTCCAAGGTCTCCGGCCTCCTTCTGCCGCTCTACCCGGTTGGCAGGTGCTTTTATAGCCCCAGGTGGCTCCGCCTCTAAAGTGGGTGGGGTTTAGTGGGGGCAAAAAACAACAACACTGGCACCGAAGCCCTTCTGAACCAGTGCGCCACATGTTCTCAAGTCTGGGACAAGTGTTGCAATCCGTCTGCTTTGGAAAGCGGTGTTGCCTCTGAGCTTCTTGACCTTTGGACTGTATACATCCCATGCGACGGAACCCTGGGAGTTATAGTTCCCCAGGGCATGGCCATCAAAGGACACCCAAAGGTCCAATGGCTGCCATTAATGCCTGAACGCCAAACATCAGAGCGGGATTTTGTCAAGGCCTTTTGCCTTCTCTGCATAAGGAAGCTGGGTCCCCGGGAAACTATACATCCCAGGGTCCCATAGCATGTGGTGCCTGCATGCGGAAGAATCCTGAGAATTGTAGTTTGGCATGGCATTTTGCCTTGCCTGCCTAAGAACCTGGGATCTTTGCAAACTACATATCCCAGGGTCCCATAGCAAGTGGTGTCTGCATGCTGCAGAATTCTGAGAGTTGTCGTTTGGCATGGCATTTCACCTTGCCTGCCTAAAGAACCTGGGGTCTTGGCAAACTACACATTCCAGGGCCCCATAGCATGTGGTGTCTGCATGCTGCAGAATCCTGAGAGTTGTAGTTTGGCACTGCCTTTTGCCTTCTCTGCCTACAGAAGCTGGGTCCTTGGCAAACTATACATTTCAGGGTTCCTTAGCAAGTGGTGCCTGCATTCTGCATAATCGTGAGAGTTGTAGTTTGGCACTGCCTTTCGCCTTCTCTGCCTACGGAAGCTGGGGTCCTTGGCAAACTATACATCCCAGGGTCCCATAGCAAGTGGTGCCTGCATGCTGCAGAATTCTGAGAGTTGTATTTTGGGACTGCCTTTTGCCTTCTCTGCCTACGGAAGCTGGGGTCCTTGACAAACTATACATCCCAGGGTCCCATAGCAAGTGGTACCTGCATGCTGCATAATGGTGAGAGTTGTAGTTTGGCAAGGTCTTTTGCTTTCTCTGCCTATAAAAGCTGGGTCCCCAGCAAACTATACATCCCAAGGCCCCACAGTATGGAGTCGCGAGAGCTCAAAGTAATGTCTGCATGCTGCGGAATCGTGAGAGTTGTGGTTTGGCAAGGTCTTTTGCCTTCACTGCCTATGAAAGCTGGGTCCCCAGCAAACTATACATCCCAAGGTCCCACAGTATGGAGTCGTGAGAGCTAAAAGTAATGTCTGCATGCTGTGGAATTGTGAGAGTTGCGGTTTGGCAAGGTCTTTTGCCTTCACTGCCTATGAAAGCGGGGTCCCCGGCAAACTATACATCCCAAGGTCCCACAGTATGGAGTCATGAGGGCTAAAAGTAATGTCTGCATGCTGCGGAATTGTGAGAGTTGTGGTTTGGCAAAGCCTTTCGTCTTCTCTGCCCAAGGAAGCTGGGTCCTTGGCAAACTACGCATCCCAGGGTCCCCTAGAATGTGATGTCTGCACGCCGTGCAATCCTGAGAGCTGTAGTCTGGCATGGCCTTCCACCTTCCCCGCCTAAGGAAGTGGAGTATTTAGCAAACTATACATCCCAGAAACCTGTACGGCCTTGCCGTGAATTGCTTCTTCACTTGTATGGGTTGCCTGGCATGCATGCAAAGCACTGGCCAAACAGGCTTTTGTTTGCCTTGGCTGAAGGCCGAGAGGAGCGAGCGCGAGAGAGCGAGAGAGCCCATTCGCCCCTTGGTGTTGACTCAGCGCTCTTTTCTCCCCCAGCAAGCAAATATAGATTCAGGGCAAGAGGACACCACACGCAGGGTGATATCACAACCCGTGGGCACAGAATGGCACCGAAAGCCGTAAATCCGGGCATTTTAGGGCTGGCGGGTTCGAGGAAATGACAAGAACCACCGATGGTGCACCAAGAGACACCTGGATGGGAAATGTTGTTGTTGTTGTTTACCTGCTTCTGCTTTCAGCTTGAAGTGGGGCACAAAATGAGTCAAGCCCACCTATAAAAGCATATATTAAAACATAGTTAAATTCACACACACACACATATTAAAAGATATGAAACAAAAGAGAGAAGAGCTTTGCAAACTTGCATAATACATTTTAAGAATGATGAGGATTTGGAGAGCGGGGGCGCGGGCCTCGTTCTTTCCTTTCTTTGGTCTATTTTGGGGTGTTTTCTATACTTGGTGTATTTCCCGTTTTCTTTACAAAACCAAACCAAACTGAGGTGGTGAGTAGGTAGAGAAACAAAGAGGGGAAGGAAGGAAGAGAAGAAAGAGAAAAAGAAAGGGAAGTAGGAAACAGAGAGGGAAGAGAAGAAAGAAAGAAAGAAAGAAAGAAAGAAAGAAAGAAAGAAAGAAAGGAAGGAACGGAGGAAAGAAAAAGAGAGGTAAAGAAGAAGGAAAGGTAAGCAGGAATATAGAGTGAAGGAAGAGAGAAAGAAAGGGAAGGGAGAGAAGAAGGGGAGAAAGGAATGGAGGAAAGAAAAAGACAGGTAAGAAGAAGGAAAGGTAAGCAGGAATATAGAGCGAAGGAAGAGAAGAAAGAGAGAAAGTCAGGTAAACAGGAAAGAAAAAAGTAAGGTAAAAGGTAAGGTAAAAAGGAAAGAAAAAGACAAGGAAAGAAGAAAGAAAGGTAAGCAGGAGTATAGAGCGAAGGAAGAGAAGAAAGAGAGAAAGTCAGGTAAACAGGAAAAAGAGAGGACAGGAAGAGAAGAAATGGAGAAAGATGGGTAAGTAGAAAAAAGAGAGGGAAAGAAGGGAAGAAAGAATGAAAAGCAGGAAAAGAGAGCGAAGGAAGAGAAGAAAGAAAGAAAGGTAAACAGGAAAAAGAGAGGAAAGGAAAAGAAGAAAGAGAAAAAGAAAGGAAAGGAAGAGAAGGAAGAGAGAAAGAAAGGGAAGAAAAGAAGAAAGGGTGAAAGAAAGGGGAGGTGGGAAAAGAGAGGGAAGGAAGAGAAGAAAGGTAAGGAGGAAACAGAGAAGGAAGGAAGAAAAGAAAGAAGGAAGGAAGAGAAGAAGGGGAGAAAGAAAGGGAGGAAAGAAAAAGAGGGAAAGAAGAGAGAAAGGTAAGCAGGAATATAGAGTGAAGGAAGAGAAGGAAGAGAGAAAGAAAGGGAAGAAAAGAAGAAAGGGAGAAAGAAAGGTAAGGAGGGAAAAGAGAGGGAAGGAAGAGAAGAAAGAAAGAAAGGTAGGGAGGAAACAGAGAGGGAAGGAAGAAAAGAAAGAAGGAAGGAAGGAAGGGAAGAAGGGGAGAAAGAAAGGGAGGAAAGAAAGAGGGAAAGAGAGAAAGAAAGGGAAGAAAAGAAGAAAGGGAGAAAGAAAAGTAAGGAGGGAAAAGAGAGGGAAGGAAGAGAAGAAAGAAAGAAAGAAAGAAAGAAAGAAAGAAAGAAAGAAAGAAAGAAAGAAAGAAAGGCAGGAAAACAGAGAAGGAACAAAGGAAGAAAAGAAAGGGAGAAAGAAAGGGAGGGAGGAGGGAAGAATAAGTCTTGACAAGAAAACTCTGTGACAGTATTGCTTTAGGGCTGTCTGAAGTCTGAAACAACTTGAAAAAACACAACCACAACCACAACCACAACAACAACCACAACCACAACAAACTAGAGTCTGGCCCCCAAACAGTCTGAGGGCCCCGTGTTCTACAGTAGAGAAGCACCTTTCACTTTGGACAAGCTTTGCATGGACTTGAATGGATTCAATCCGACGACCGGCCCAAACCCGGCCCGGATCTGTTGCCCCGCTGACCTGGATGCCATTGCCGAAGGGGCAAATGGTCCCTACGGAAGGCCAAGGTGCTTTACAGAGCTGGGTTTTTCCGCTGCCAAATGATCAAAGGGAGTATTTGTGCCAAAGGGATGGGAGCGGAGGAGTGTGCCACAAAGCCGGGGATGAGTCAAGGGGGGAAAGAGAAATAGATCTGTGGCCCCATCTGCGCGCCTCTGCGCTTGGCCTGGAAAGGAAGAACAGATGGCACAAGAGGAGGAGAAGGCTGGGCCTTCCTCACAATGGAGATGCCACTGACTGAGGGACATCATTATGGGTTGGGCTTGCCTTGGCATATATCAACCTAAACTGCTTTGGCATTTGTTTTTTCACCGTATCCGCTTTGGGTTGTAGTCCGAAGTTTCCAAAGCACTCCTCAATATTTCCGTCCCCATGCACACAACTCTTTGGGCATCACTCCTTTCAGGCCCAAAGCCTGGAGCAGAGGCACAGCTTGTTTATCAGAGTCTACCGGCTGCATGGGCTGACGTATCCGCTCCGGATTGTAGTCTGAATTCAAGCCACTCGAGTGCTTCTTGTGTATTCATATATGTGTGTATATATGTGTGTATACATGTATGTATGTATATGCCTGTAGGTGTATGTGTATGTGTGTACATGTGTATGTTTGTACTTGCATATATATGTGTGTGTATGTCTGTCTTTTTGTATGCATGCATGTGTATATGTATATGAATGTGTGTGTGTGTATATATATATATATATATATATGGTTTATATGTATATGTGTGTAGGTGTATATAGTTTATTGGGGGGGTTAAAGTCTGTTCTGCTGGGTTTTTGTGTGTGTGTTTTAGGGGTGATGGACACTCATTGGACTATCAGGTATACGGTCAATATTTCATGTCAATTCATCCAATGGTTGAATTGGATACACCTACAAGCAAACATGTTGTTGTTCATTCGTTCAGTCGTCTCCGACTCTTCGTGACCTCATGGACCAGCCCACGCCAGAGCTCCCTGTCGGCCGTCACCACCCCCAGCTCCTTCAAGGTCAGTCCAGTCGCTTCAAGGATGCCATCCATCCATCTTGCCCTTGGTCGGCCCCTCTTCCTTTTGCCTTCCACTTTCCCCAGCATATATATATAATGTTCACTTGTGGGAGAAAGATAACTCAGAAACCATTGGATGAATTGACATGAAATATTGACCATATACCTGATAGTCCAATGAGTATATATATAGAAGATATATTATATTCTGTTATACCCCCATATATTACACTGTGAGTATTATACAACACCTTCTTGGAATGCAAACTGCCACGCCTGCCTTTCTGGGCTCAATCCGCCCAGCTTGGCCATGCCCCCTGAGCATGCACAGAGTGCCAAGGCGTTGGCTGGGGCCCCTCCCTGGGCTCGGCCCCTCCCGCGCATGCGCACAGCCGCCTCGCCTTTTCCCTCGCCATGAAGGATCGGACCCAGGAGCTGCGGCCGGTGAGCGCCCCTTGCCCACCCACCCCAGCCCGGACAGGGAGGCAGGAAGGGAGCCCCCCCCCCCAGCAGCCCCCTTTCCCGGGCCCCCCCTCCTCCTCCTCCCCTCTTTGGGGAAGCAGGAGTTGCAACAGGAGGAGTTGCACAGGGGAGGAAAGGGTTAACACTCTCCCCCTTGAAGGGACAGCGCCAGGCTCACTAAGATCATCCTCATCATCCTCATCATCCTCATCATCATCCTCATCAATGTGTATTGTGCCAGCACTTTCAGGGTCTGGGGACTTTCCCAATATTTTTGAGTATTGTTGTTGTTATTATTTTGCAAAGACTTTCAGAGTCTGGGAATCCTGTTGTTGTTGTTGTTGTGTTGTGTTTATTATGCTAGGACTTTCAGGGTCTGGGCACCCTATTATTATGTTTATTGTTATCATTATTATTATGTTTGGGGTGTTTATTATGCTGGGACTTTCAGCATCTGTAACTCTCCCATATTATTATTATTATTATTATTATTATTATTATTATTATGTCTATTATGTCTATTATGCTTATAATTATGTTTGTTATGCTAGGACTTTCAGCGTCTGAGCACCCTTCCATCCTTATTATTATTATTATTATTAGTATTTGTTGTTGTTTATGTTTATTATGCTAGGACTTTCAGCGTCTGAACACCCTTCCATCCTTATTATTATTATTATTATTATTATTATTAGTATTTGTTGTTGTTTATGTTTATTATGCTAGGACTTTCAGCGTCTGAACACCCTTCCATCCTTATTATTATTATTATTATTAGTATTATTATTATTAATTGTTGTTGTTTATGTTTATTATGCTAGGACTTTCAGCGTCTGACCACCCTTCCATTATTATTGTTGTTGTTGTTGTTTATGTTTATTATGCTAGGACTTTCAGCGTCTGAGCACCCTTCCATTATTATTATTATTATTATTATTATTATGTTAGGACTTTCACAGTTTGGGCACCCGCCCAATTTTTTTAGTATTATTATTATTATTATTATGTTTATTATGCTAGGACTTTCGCAGTCTAGGCACCCTTCCATTATTATTATTATTATTATTATTATTATTATTATTATTATTATGTTAGGGCTTTCACAGTTTGGGCACCCGCCCAATTTTTTAGTATTATTATTATTATTATGTTTATTATGCTAGGACTTTCGCAGTCTAGGCACCCTTCCATTATATTATTATTATTATTATTATTATTATTATTATTATTATGATGTTAGGACTTTCACAGTTTGGGCACCCGCCCAATTTTTTTAGTATTATTATTATTATTATTATTATTATTATTATTATTGTTGTTGTTGTTATTGTTATGTTTATTATGCTAGGACTTCTGCAATCTGGGCACCCTTCAATTATTATTATTATTATTATTATTATTATTGTTGTTGTTGTTGTTATTGTTATGTTTATTATGCTAGGACTTCTGCAATCTGGGCACCCTTCAATTATTATTATTATTATTATTATTATTATTATTATGTTAGGACTTTCACAGTTTGGGCACCCGCCCAATTTTTTAGTATTATTATTATTATTATTATGTTTATTATGCTAGGACTTTCGCAGTCTAGGCACCCTTCCATTATTATTATTATTATTATTATTATTATTATTATTATTATTATGTTAGGACTTTCACAGTTTGGGCACCCGCCCAATTTTTTAGTATTATTATTATTATTAGTTTGGGCACCCGCCCAATTTTTTAGTATTATTATTATTATTATGTTTATTATGCTAGGACTTTCGCAGTCTAGGCACCCTTCCATTATATTATTATTATTATTATTATTATTATTATTATTATTATGTTAGGACTTTCACAGTTTGGGCACCCGCCCAATTTTTTAGTATTATTATTATTATTATTATTATTATTATTATTATGTTTATTATGCTAGGACTTTCGCAATCTGGGCACCCTTCCATTATTGTTGTTGTTGTTGTTGTTTATTATGCTAGGACTTTCGCAGTCTGGGCACCCTTCTATTATTATTATTATTAATTATTATTATTATTGTTTATGTTTATTATGCTAGGACTTTCACTGTCTGGGCACCCTTCCATTATTTATTATTATTATTATTATTATTATTATTATTATTATTATTATTATGCTTATAGTTATGTTTATTATGCTAGTACTTTCAGCATCTGAGCACCCTTCCATTATTATTGTTATTAATTATTGTTGTTTATGTTTATTATACTAGGACTTTTGCAGTCTGGGCACCCTTCCATTAATAATAATAATAATAATAATAATAATAATGCTTATAGTTATGTTTATTATGCTAGGACTTTCAGTGTCTGGGCACCCTTCCATTATTATTATTATTATTATTATTACTAGTAGTAGTAGTAGTAGTAGTATTTGAAACACAACAAGATTAGTACGCAGCAAACAAGATCACTCTTCTGGCTGTTGTATTTGATCACACGTCGGACACTTCCCAGGTGTCTAGGACAGTGTGATATATGGGTGAACAATGCGTGCAGATCCGAGTCAGGTGGTCTTTTGCAGCGGACTGGTGGTGATTTTGTCAGCGCTGATTGTTTTTAAGTGCAGGCCAAGGTCGTTAGGCACTGCACCCAGTGTGCCGATGACCATTGGGACCACCTTGACCGGCTTGTGCCAGAGTCTTTGCAGTTCTGTTATTGTTGTTGTTATTTTACTGACACAAAACACAGTATGTCACAGCAAACAAGATCTATAAGCTGGATTTTGTATCACGAAATCACAAGTGGAACACTTCCCAACCATCTAGGACTGTGTGACGTATTATTATTATTATTATATCCCAAGATAACAACAACAACAACAACAACATGCAGTAGGTTTAGTCAACAAAATGAGACATTGGGTTGGGACGCAGTGGGTTAAACCACAATGAAAACAAACTCGGGCGTCTGCAGAACCTTAATGAAATTATTTCTCCCTGAGCCTCTGCAGGCTTCGGTCTGCGAATCAAGCCTTGCGCTGCAATCAATATGTTTTCAAACATGTGTATTTAGACTCTAGCTATGGTGGCTGTGGATGCTGGGAGTTGCCCTGCGGAAACATCCCAACCATTCCCCCAAGGAGAGCCCTTGTGGCTGCAGCTCCCACTCTTAGCTATGCAAGCTAGCAAGGCTAATGGGAATTGTAGTCCCAGAGGCAGGAGTAGCTTGCGGATCCCACATTAAAGCCTTCAAGAAGCCAAAATAAGGGGAAGTGTAGGATTCAGCACCATGGACAGCGTGGAAACTGGCAGGAGAAGGAGCTCCAAATATCTATCTATCTATCTATCTATCTATCTATCTATCTATCTATCTATCTATCTATCTATCTATTTTCCACCCATCCACCATCAACTATTTTTTCTTTCTATCCATCTACCTTTCTATCTATCTATCTATCTATCTATCTATCTAGATATTTACCTACCTACCTATCATTATTTCTATCATCTGTCTATCCATCTATCTTTCTTTCCATTGATCTATTCATCTATCTTTCTACCTACCTGTCTATACATCTATCTACCTATCTACCTAACTTTCTTCCTTCCTATCTTTCTGTCTGTCTATCCTCCATCAATCCATCCACCCATCCATCCATCTCTCTCTCTCTCTTTCTCTGTCATATCTTTCCATCCATCTATCCATCATCTATTATCTACCTACCTACCTACCTACCTACCTACTGTATCTATCTATCCATCCATCTATCCTCCATCCATCCATCCATCTCTCTCTTTCTCTGTCATTACATCTTTCTATCCATCCATTATCTATCTTTATTTCTTTATTTCTTTCTTCCTATCTTCCTTCCTTCCTTCCTGTCTGTCTGTCTGTCTGTCTATCTTCCATCAAGCCATCCATCCATCTCTCTCTGTTTCTCTGTCATATCTTTCTATCCATCATCTATTATCTATCTATCTACTATATCTATCCATCTATCTTTCTTTCTTCTTATCTATCTGTCTGTCTATCCTCCATCAATCCATCCATGCATCTCTCTCTCTTTCTCTGTCATATCTTTCTATCTATTTATCCATTATCTATCCATCTATCAATTATCTATCTATCTATCTATCTCTGTCTGTCTGTCTATCTATCCTCCATCCATCTTTCTCTGTCATTCTATCTATCTATCTATCTATCTATCTATCCATTATCCTATCTATCTATCTATCTATCTATCTATCTATCTATCTATCTATCTATCTATCTATCCATCTACTGTATCTACCCATCTATCTTTCTTTCTTCCTGTCTGTCTATCCTCCATCAATCCATTCATCCATCCATCCCTCTCTCTCTCTTTGTCATTATATCTTTCTATGCATCTATTCACTATCTGTCTGTCTGTCTGTCTGTCTGTCTATCTATCTATCTACTTTATCTATCCATCTATCTTTTTCCTATCTATCTATCTATCTCTCTCTCTCTCTCTCTCTCTCTCTCTCTCTCTCTCTCTCTCCATCCATCTCCCTCCCTCTCTCTCTTTTTCTGTCATTATATCTTTCTATCCATCTATCCATTATCTATCTATCTATCTATCTATCTATCTATCTATCTATCCATCCATCCATCCATCCATCCATCTACTGTATCTATCAATCTATATTGCTTTCTTCCTATCTGTCTATCTATCCTCCATCAATCCATCCCCCCTCTCTCTTTATCTGTCATTATATCTTTCTATCCATCTATCCATTCTCTATCTATCTATTTATCCTTTTTCCTATCTATCTATCTATCCTTCATCCATCTCCCTCACACACACTCTCTCTTTTTCTGTCATTATATCTTTCTATCCATCTATCTATCCATTCTCTATCTATCTATCTATCCATTTATCTATCTATCCACATCTTTTTTCCTTCCTTCCTATCTATCTATCTATCTATCTATCTATCTATCTATCTATCTATCTATCTATCTATCTATATATCCTCCATCCATCTCCCTCTCTCACACACTCTCTTTCTTTCTCTGTCATTATCTCTTTCTATCCATCTATCCATTATCTATCTATCTATCCATCCATACATACATCTATATCCTGCTTTGATGGATTTGGACTAGGTGGCCTTTGGCATCCCTTCCAACTCTGTGACTTGATGATAGATCGATATAGATATTGATACACACGCACATATATCCTTCTTTTATGGAGTTGGGATGGCTTCCAACTCTCTGATTCAGTGATAGATAGATGTAGATATTGATACACACACACACACATATATATACTGCTTCGATGTTGGACTAGATGGCCTTTGGGATCCCTTCCAACTCTGTGATTTGATGATATAGATATCTACAAATCCTGAAACAGGAAGTGGGCCTGGGTGTCCCTTCCAGCTCTAGGGTTCTTTGCCTTCATTCACTCCTATGGGGCTTTTCGTCGTCTCTCTCCTGCCTGCCTTTCCTTGCACAAGAGGGGCATTGGGGGTTTATGGCATGGCTACCAAGTGGCCCTGGGGACTGGCCAGCACCATGGCAACTGCTTGCTGATATCAAGGTGGCCGCCTGGCAACCATCGATGCAATGAAGTCATCCCTCCTGGATGTTTTGGGATGAGCTCGGGAAACAAGAGCCGCAATGCAGCCGCGGGGCACAGAAGGATATTATCCTAGAGCTGGGGGGGGGGGGTCCCCAAAGGGCCATCCAGTCAAACCCCCTTAAGCTGGGCATGAAGTCACAATCCGATCCCTCCCAACAGGTGGCCATCCAGCTTCTGCTTCAAAGTCTCCTGCGATAGAAAGATTTAAGAGATAGATAGAAAGATGAGATAGGTAGATAAATAGATAGAAGAGATAGTTAGATAGAAGAGGTAGGTAGGTAGGTAGGTAGGTAGGTAGGTAGGTAGGTAGGTAGAAGAGCTAAAGATAGATTGATGGAAGAGATAGATAGATAAATAGATAGATAGAAGAGATATAGATTACATTGGTAGAAGAGATAGATAGATAGATGAGATATAGACTGATAGAAGAGAGAGAGAGAGATAGATGAGATATAGATTGATAGAATAGATAGATAGATGAGTTATAGACAGATTGATAAAAGAGACAGACAGACAGACAGACAGACAGATAGATAGAAGAGATATAGATAGAAGAGATATAGATTGATAGAAGAGATAGATAGATAAATAGATAGATAGATAGATAGATAGATAGATAGATAGATAGATAGAAGAGATATAGATAGATTGATAGAAAAGATAGATAGATGAGTTATAGACAGATTGATAGAAGAGATAGATAGATAGATAGATGAGATATAGATAGATTGATAGAAGAGACAGATAGATAGATAGATAGATAGATAGATAGATAGATAGATAGATGAGATATAGATAGATTGATAGAAGAGATAGATAGATAGATAGATGAGATATGGATAGATAGATAGATAGATGAGATATAGACAGATTGATAGAAGAGATAGATAGATAGATAGATAGATAGATAGATAGATAGAAGTGATTGATAGAAGAGATAGATAGATAGATAGATAGATAGATAGATAGATAGGATAGATAGATAGATAGATAGATAGAAGTGATTGATAGAAGAGATAGATAGATAGATAGATAGATAGATAGATAGATAGATGAGATATAGATAGATTGATAGAAGAGATAGATAGATAGATGAGATATGGATAGATAGATAGATAGATAGATAGATAGATAGATGAGATATAGACAGATTGATAGAAGAGATAGATAGATAGGATAGATAGATAGATAGATAGATAGAAGTGATTGATAGAAGAGATAGATAGATAGATAGATAGATAGATGAGATATAGACAGATTGATAGAAGAGATAGATAGATAGATAGATAGGATAGATAGATAGATAGATAGATAGATAGATAGATAGATGTGATTGATAGAAGAGATAGATAGATAGATAGATAGATAGATAGATAGATAGATAGATAGATAGATAGATGAGATATGGGCAGATTTATAGAAGTGATAGATGAGATATATCGATAGAATAGATATATAGAAGAGATAGTTTGATAGATAGATAGAAGAGATATAGATAGATTGATAGAAGAGATAGTTAGAGGAGATAGATAGATAGATAGATAGATAGATAGATAGATAGATAGATAGATAGATAGATAAAGAGAGAGAGAGAATGGTTTGCCTCACTCAGTTGCTTCTTTTTCCAGGTGAAAGATGGCGATGAGGATGACGAAATTGCTGTTGGAGTGGATCGAGACCGCTTCATGGATGAGTTTTTCGAGCAGGTGAGGGGGGGAAAAACCCTTCTATTACTGGAAATGGATGGGAGAACCAACCCTTTGGAATTATTATGTATTGTGTCAGAAGTGAATTGATGGTACAGTTTTTCTCATCCGGTCTTAGCCACTGATTGAGGTTCTGGGTTTTTGCCTGCCACTTTTGGACTCTTGCTTGCTGAGGTGTTCCTGCAAGTATCTCTGTAGATCTTAGGAAGCCATTTCTTGGTTTAAGGCATTGGCGTGCTGGCTGATACCCAAACAGAGGAATGGCCAGAGATGTCACTGCCTTGGTCTTTCATTACTGGCTGCTACTTCCCAGCGGATGTCAGGTGGTGCAATAACAGCTCAATTTCTCCAGTAGTGTAGGCCACAGACACCCCGTGATAATGCGGCATGTCTCATTACACGTTTGGGTCCTGTCTGCAGGTGGAAGAGATCCGGGGCTTCATCGAGAAAATCGCCGAAAACGTGGAAGACGTGAAGCGGAAGCACAGCGCCATCCTCGCCTCCCCAAACCCCGACGAAAGTGAGCAAAGTGGCCATGCTGCATTTTAATTTTTATTATATATTATTATATTAATTATTTTATTTATCCAGCAGAGAAATTATACTGTTAGCATCGACATCCTGTGATTATGCGGCATGCCACATCCACTGTTTTGATGTGGTGAGATGAATATTTCACACTTGGCATGCATACTCAGCAGCAGAGTAGCAAAGCACAAGGGCAGATGTCTTCACTGTGTCTGGTTGTGATCCCCAGGTTGTGCCAGTCAGCTTTCATACAATATTATTCCTAGAACCCACTATTTGCTTGATAGCTAAGCAGTGCTTCTTGTACATCAGAGAATAGCCCAGGATAACTCCCAGGTATTTGGGTGTGCTGCAATGCAATGTTCAACCATTTCAAAGCTTCCTACTTGGGCAGTGATGGCACAATCATCAGCATACATCGTTTCTTTAGAGTTCAAGATGCTTCTCTGTTCTGATGGTGAAAAGCACACGTCTGTATTTTAGATGGATGAGGAATCAGCTGGTTTTCTCTGTAATAGGCATTAAGAGCACCTAAACCTTTGGAGAGTTTCTGTTCAACCATTTCAAAGCTCTCTGCTTGAGCAGTGCTGGCACGATCGTCAGCATAGATCGTTTCTTCAGAGCTCACTATACTTGTCTGTTCTGAAAAGCACACGTCTGTATTTTAGATGGTTTGGGGATCAGCTGGTTTTCCCTGTAATAGGCAGTAAGAGCATCTAAAGCTTCGGAGAGCTTCTGTTCAACCATTTCAAAGCTCTCTGTTTGGGCATTGATGGCATGATCGTCAGCATAGATAGTTTCTTCAGAGCTCAAGGTGCTTGTCTGTTCTGAAGGTGAAAAGCACACATTTGTATTTTAGATGGATTGAGAATCAGCTGGTTTTTCCAGTAATAGGCAGTAAGAGCATCTAAAGCTTCGGAGAGTTTCTGTTCAACCATTTCAAAGCTCCCTGCTTGGGCGGTGATGGCACGATCGTCAGCATAGATGAACCTCTCTATCCCTTCTGGCAGTGGCTGGTCATTTGTGTAAATGTTGATCATTGATGGGAGTGAGCACGCTCCCTTGAGGCAGGCCATTCTTCTGTTTCCGCCATCTGCTTCTCTGTCCCTGGAACTCAACAAAAAAGCTCCTGTTTTGTAGCAGGTTTCCTATGAAGCGGGTGAGGTGGAATTATTATTTTTTTCTCAGGAGAAGGTGATGATTTACAGTATCCGAGCCTGTGATTCAGACCTTTCCCTTTCTGCTCTCCCTTCCAGAAACCAAAGAAGAGCTGGAGGAGTTGATGTCGGACATAAAAAAGACCGCCAACAAAGTCCGCTCCAAGCTAAAAAGTGAGTCCTTGCCCCTCACCAACTGGACCGAACCCCCACATTGCTCCTTATAGCTCCAAAGATGTCCCTAGAAGCCCGGTACGCCCTCATATGAATACTGGTGGGGTTGGGGAGGGGTTGATTTTGTCACTTGGGAGTTGTAGTTGCTGGGATTTATAGTTCACCTACCATCAAAGAGCATTCTGAACCCCACCAATGATGGAATTGAACCAAACTTGGCACACAGAACTCCCATGACCAACAGAACACACTAGAAGGGTTTGGTGGGCATTGACCTTGAGTTTGGGAGTTATAGTTCACCTAAATCCAGAGAGTATGGTAGACTCAAACAATGATGGATCTGGACCAAACTTGGGACAAATACTCAATATGCTCAAATGTGAACACTGGTGGAGTTTGAGGAAAATAGACCTTGACATTGGGGACTTGTAGTTGGTGGAATTTATAGTTCAGCCACAATCAAAGAGCATTCTGAACTCCACCAATGATAGAATTGGGCCAAACTTCCCACACAGAATCCCCATGACCAACAGAAAATACTGTGTTTTCTGATGGTCTTTGGTGACCCCCTCGCAACCCACCCAGGGGTCCCGACCTCCAGGTTGAGAAACCCTGATCTAAAGGGACAGAACTCTATTCCTCTTTGAGTCACGAAACGAGCAGCAATGCAAATGAAGCCTGGATGCCGCTGAGAGCTCACCTTTGGGTCAGCCCGCGTTTTGAGGTGCCCAGAGTCTGTCAAACAGGTGGAACAGGGATATTTGAATGCATTTTCTAAATGGCTGCGTCGTTGTCGTCGTTGTCAGACTCCTGTGTTCCAAGGAGATATTTTTAAGCCGGCCTGGAACGGATATTTGGCAGCGGAGAGATGGAGAGGACCATCTGTTTGTCACATCCGCCCACCTGTTTCCCTCTTCAATCTCTTTCCAAACGGTGCCTCCTCTCTGGCTTCGTTGCAGGTATTGAGCAGAGCATTGAACACGAGGAAGGGCTGAACAGATCCTCGGCTGACTTGCGGATCAGGAAAACGCAGGTGAGGAGCGGCAAAGGCTCCCAAATGTGGATAGATAAGAGATATACACAGGCTGTCCCCGCGTTACAAACATCTGACTTACAAACAAGTCCTAGTTTATTTATTGTATCAGTAGTCTTCTGTGTGCCCAGGCCCGAGTCTCTCATTTGTTATGGATTGAGGTTCCGGGTTTAGCCTGCCACTTTTGGACTCTTGCTTGCTGAGGTGTTTCTGCAAGTATCTCTATAGGTCTTAGTAAGCTGTTTCTTGATTTAAGGCATTGGCATGCTGGCTGATATCCAAACAGAGGATGGGCCGGAGATGTCACTGCCTTGGTGACATCTCTTGGTGCTCCTTCCCGGCAGATGTCAGGTGGTGCAATACCGACTAAACAGTATGGTGTGGGGCGTAGACATCCTGTGATAATGTGGCATGTCTCATTAAGAACCACATCCACTGTTTTGAATGTGGTGAGATGAATTCCACACTGAGTATGCATATGCAGCAGCAGAGCAGCAAAGCGCAAGGGCAGATGTCTTCACTGTGTCTGGTTGTGAAGCCCAGGTTGTGCCAGTCAGCTTTCATATGATGTTGTTTCTAGCGCCCACTTTTTGCTTGATAGTCAAGCAGTGCTTCTTGTAAGTCGGAGCACGGTCCAGGGTAACTCCTAAATATTTTGGTGTGCTGCAATGCTCCCGTGGGATTCCTTCCCAGGTCATTCTCAGAGCTCAAGATGCTTGTCTGTTCTTAAGATGGAAAGCACACCTTTGTGTTTTAGATGGATTAGGAATCAACATTTTCTCTGTAGTAGGCAGTAAGAGCACCTAAAGCTTCGGAGATCTTCTGTTCAACCATTTCAAAGCTCCCTTCTTGAGTGGTGATGGCATGATCGTCAGCATAGTTTCCTCAGAGCTCGAGATGCTTGTCTGTTCTTAAGATGGAGAGCACTCACCTGCAGTTTAATGGATGAGAAAACAGCTGGTTTTCCCAGTAATAGCCAGTAAGAGCACCTAAAGCTTCAGAGAGCTTCTGTTCAACCATTTCAAAGCGCCATGCTTGAGCAGTGATGGCACGATTGTCAGCATAGATAGTTTCCTCAGAGCTCGAGATGCTTGTCTGGTTTTAAGATGGAAAGCATACCTTTTTGTTTTAGATAGATTAGGAACCAACGTTTTCCCTGTAATAGGCAGTAAGAGCATCTAAAGCTTTGGAAAGCTTCTGTTCAACCATCTCAAAGCGCCATGCTTAAGCAGTGATGGCACGATCGTTAGCATAGATTGTTTCCTCAGAGCTCAAAATGCTTGTCTGTTCTTAAGATGGAAAGCACACGCCTGCATTTTAATGGATGAGGAAACAGCTGGTTTTCCCTGTAATTGGCAGTAAGAGCACCTAAAGCTTTGGAGAGCTTCTGTTCAACCGTTTCAAAGCTCCCTGCTTGAGCAGTGAGGGCACTATCGTCAGCATAGATAGTTTCCTCAGAGCTCGAGATGCTTGTCTGTTCTTAAGATGGAAAGCACACGCCTGCATTTTAATGCATGRGGAATCAACTGGTTTTCCCAGTAATAGGCAGTAAGAGCACCTAAAGCTTCAGAGAGCTTCTGTTCAATCATTTCAAAGCTCCTTGCTTGAGTGGTGATGGCACTATCGTCAGCATAGATAGTTTCCTCAGAGCTCGAGATGCTTGTCTGTTCTTGAGATGGAAAGCACACACCTGCATTTTAATGGATGAGGAAACAGCTGGTTTTCCCAGTAATAGGCAGTAAGAGCACCTAAAGCTTCAGGGAACTGTTCAACCATTTCAAAGCTCCCTGCTTGAGTGGTGATGGCACGATCGTCAGCATAGATCATTTCCTCAGAGCTCGAGATGTTTGTCTGTTCTTGAGATGGAAAGCACATGCTTGCATTTTAATGAATGAGGAATCAGCTGGTTTTCCCTGTAGTAGGCAGTAAGAGCACCTAAAGCTTTGGAAGCTTCTGTTCAACCATTTCAAAGCTCCCTGCTTGAGCGGTGATGGCACTATCGTCAGCATAGATAGTTTCCTAAGAGCTCGAGATGCTTGCCTGTTCTTAAGATGGAACGCAGACGTCTGCATTTTAGATGGACTCGTGGTTAAGAATGGGGCTGAGACAACAGGAAGTGAAAGAGAGCTCTAACTTACCTTTAAGAAGGGAAATCCACTCCTGGAAAAGTTATTATCATGGGGAAAAGGGGTCTCCACTGAAGCCTTCCCTCCTTGTTTCCACAACAAGCCAAAATCTCAGAAAGTGTGATCCAATACAACAGCCAGCACAGTGATCTTGTTTGCTGTGTACTCATTTTGTTGTGTTTCCAATAATAATAATAATAATAATAATAATAATAATAATAATAATAATAGGTACCCCAGTGACCAGTCTGGATGCCAAAACGTTGCCTCTGTCACCAACAGAACAGGATCGGAGTCTCCAAATTGCTTGCCAAGGGTTGACTTTAAGCATAAACATCACTCTTTCTGTCTCCCTTTCCTTCCCAAAAACGGAGCAGATGGACTCAAAGCGACTGGGGAAATTATAGACACGCAACAGCTCGTTCCTTAATCGAGTGCGGAAAGGCTGAAACGCACGTGCCAAATGCAACAAAAGGAGGGCGGGAGAGGGAACGGTGGCGCTTCCAAAGCCTCGGATCGGGATCGTCCCAAAAAGGGGCCTTTTTCTGGTCCAAGCATTCACCGTCCCCAGGAATGTGCAACCTATTAGAAAAGCCATTGCACGTAACGGTTCCCATTAGTGACCTCAAACCCTGCTTTTCCCACCAGCATTCGACTTTGTCCCGGAAATTCGTGGAGGTGATGTCAGAGTACAATGCCACCCAGTCCGATTACCGGGAGCGCTGCAAAGGACGCATCCAGAGGCAACTAGAAATAAGTGAGTTTGCTTCTGTGTGCCTTCTCCAAAGCGGATGCCCTCTTGGAGTCTCCTTCTCTGGATGGCTATCTGTTGGGCGGGCTCAGATTGTGTCCTCGTGCCTGGCAGAAGGGGGTTGGACTGGATGGCCTTTGGGATTCCTTTCCAATTCTAGAGTAAGGGTTAGAGTTAGAATGAGGGTCAGTGAGGGCTAGGATTTGGTTGGTGAGGGTTAGAGTGTGAAGTAGAGCTACCGTTAGGGGTAAGATTAGACCTAGCATTAAGGTTAGTGAGGGTTAGAGTAAGGGGTAGGTTTGGAATAAGAGGTAGGGCTAGAATAAGGGCTAATGAGGGTTAGAGTTAGAGCAAGAGGTAGGGTTAGTGAGGGTTAGAGTAAGGGAAGAGTTAGAGTTATAGGGTTCGAATAAGTTAGTTCAGTTAGAGTCAGGATGAGAATTAAAGGGTAGAGTGAGGGTTAGAGTGTGGTTTAGAGTATAATGAGTTATAAGGTAGAGTTAGAAAGTGAGGGGTAGGGCTAGGGTTAGAATGAGTTTAGTGAGGGTAGTGTTCAGTTAGAGGTTAGAATGGGGTTTAGTGAGGGTTGACGTTAGGAGTAGAATGAGGGTTAGAGTTAGGGTAGAGTGGGGGATGGGGTTAGAATGAGGGTTGGTGAGGGTTAGAGTTAGAATTAGAATGGGGTTTAGTGGGGATACAGTTGGATTAGGGTAAGAATGGAGTTAGAGTTACGTTAGAGTGAGGGATGGGGTTAGAGTTAGAATGATGTTTAATGGGGGTAGTTTTTGGTTAGAGCTAGGAGTAGAGTGAAGGATGGGGTTAGAATGAGGGCTAGTGAGGGTTATAGATAGTTAGAATGGGGTTTAATGAGGATAGTCGGGTTAGAGTTAGGTTAGAATGAAGGATGGGGTTAGAGTTAGAATGATGTTTAGTGAGGGTAGCGTTTGGTTAGCACTAGGATTAAAGTGAAGGATGGGGTTAGAATGATGACTAGTGAGGACAGAGTTGGGTTAGGGTTAGGATTAGAATGAGGGTTAGAGTTAGGTTAGAGTGAGTGATGGGGTTAGAGTTAGAATGATGTTTAGTGAAGGTAGCGTTCAGTTAGAGCTAGGATTAAAGTGAAGGATGGGGTTAGAATGAGGGCTAGTGAGGGTTAGAGTTATAGATAGGGTTAGAATGGGGTTTAGTGAGGATAGAGTTGGGTTAGGCTTTGGATTAGAATGAGGGTTAGAGTTAGGTTAGAGTGAGGGCAAGTGACAGAGTTATAGATAGGGTAGAATGGGGTTTAGTGAGAATAGAGTTGGGTTAGGGTTAGAGTTAGGTCAGAGTGAGGGATGGGGTTAGAGTTAGAATGATGTTTAGTGAGGGTAGTGTTCAATTAGAGCTAGGATTAGATTGAAGGATGGGGTTAGAATGAGGGCTAGTGAGGGTTAGAGTTAGAGATAGGCTTAGAATGGGGTTTAGTGAGAATAGAGTTGGGTTAGGGTTAGAGTTAGGTCAGAGTGAGGGATGGGGTTAGAGTTAGAATGATGTTTAGTGAGGGTAGCATTCAGTTAGAGCTAGGATTAGATTGAAGGATGGGTTTAGAACAGTGGTTCTCAACTTGGGGTCCCCAGATGTTTTTGGCCTACAACTCCCAGAAATCCCAGCCAGTTTATCAGCTGTTAGGATTTCTGGGAGTTGAAGGCCAAAAACATCTGGGGACCCCAGGTTGAGAACCACTGGTTTAGAATGAGGGCTAGTGAGGGTTAGAGTTATAGATAGGCTTAAAATGGGGTTTAGTGAGGATAGAGTTGGGTTAAGATTAGAATGACGGTTAGAGTTAGAGTGAGGGATTCGGTTAGAGTTAAAATGATGTTTAGTGAGGGTAGTGTTTGGTTAGAGCTAGAATTTGAGTGAAGGATGGGGTTAAAATGAGGGCTAGTGAGGGTTAGAGTTAGAGATAGGGCTAGAATGATGACTAGTGAGGATAGAGTTGGGTTAGGGCTAGGATTAGAATGAGGGTTAGAGTTAGGTTAGAGTGAGGGGTGAGGTTGGAGTTAGAATGATGTTTAGTGAGGATAGCGTTCAGTTAGAGTTAGGATTTGAATGATGGTTAGAGTTAGAGATGGGGTTAGAATGAGGGTTAGTGAAGGTCAGAGTTCTAGATAAGAACTCTGACCTTCTGGTTTAGTGAGGGGAGGGTTAGGTTAGGGTTAGAGTTGGAATGGCAGACGATTCCAATGAAGACGATTCCAGCGGGGAAGAAAACTGTTGCCCCGAAGGGAGCTGGGGAGAGTTCCTTGCTGAGAGAGAGAGAGAGGATGGGAGCAGGTGGGTGGGTGGGAGGGAGTGTGAAGGCCAGGCAGGACAGGGAAGGGGGCGGCGAGATGAGAATAGAAGGACTGTGTGGGCGCCTTGAAGACGAGCCAGATCCAAATGCATACGTGAGAGAGGGAGGGAGGGAGGGAGGCAGAAGCGGACGGGGAGGAAGGACGGCAGGCAGATGGAGGAGGAAGGGAGGCTCACCCCCTTCTTCTCTGCGCCTCGTACAGAATCCCATCTTTATGGAAACGGGGGTGACCCAAATATGGAGACCTAGAGTGCCTGCGTTAGGACAGCTTGGGTAGAAATCACCAGTTCTGAACTATTAGGGACCAAGGTGTCAAGATCTCAGAACTTCTGAACCATTGCTTTCTGGGTTTCCTTCACAGCCGGTCGGACCACTACGAGCGAGGAATTGGAAGATATGCTTGAGAGCGGGAACCCGGCCATTTTCTCCTCTGGGGTAACATTACTTGGCTTGGATGGCCATCTGTTGGGAGGGATTGGATTGTGTCTTTCCCTGCCTAGCAAAAGGGGCCGGACTAGATGGCCTTTGGGGGCCCCTTTCCAACTCTATGCCTGTCGCCTTCTTTGCCTTTTGCCAAAACTCAACCAAGGAATATTGTCCTCATTCTGTATTTCGCAGCATTTGCCATGTCTAAGATCTGACCCTGGAGTCCCCTCTTTGCTCCTTGGGTGAGGAGAGGAATCTCAGGGTGAGAGCACTGCCTTGAAAGGATTTAGTGCATCAATATTGTCCTCGTCGCTGTGCAAAAACACATTTAGAAATAGGGTTCTGGATCTTTAGAGAGCTCCTTTCAGGCTCAGATGAAGACCTGGAGTGGATTCGTCACCCCACTGGCCTGGGACCCACCAAGTTGGGTGTCATCTATACTATCATTTCGGCCTCAGATTGAGGGGAGATGAGGGTCACTTTCCCCTTTCTTCTCACATCCTTCCCTTCTGGGTGCCTTCCTCCAGATCATCATGGATTCCAATATCACCAAGCAGGCGCTGAACGAGATCGAGACGCGGCACAGCGAGATCATCAAGCTGGAGAACAGCATCCGGGAGCTCCACGACATGTTCATGGACATGGCCATGCTGGTGGAGAGCCAGGTGAGAGTGGAGGCAAAGGCGGGAGAGGGTCCAGGTTCGAGGTGGTGCCTCCCCATCCCTCCTAGGCACAGACCAGGAGGAGGCATGTGGCCTCCTGGATCTACATGGCCTAAGCTTCATTAGGCTGCTGGTCCCAACATACATACAAAGGACTACTTTTAGTATTTGGTTGTTTCTCATGTATTCATTTGGGTCTCATAGACAGTCTACCTCCAGGTTTGGATTATGAGCGAGCCATGATTTAACGCAGGGAGACTTTCTCCCTTCCCCATCTCAAAGATGGCCTACTTTCTCCCTTCCTCAGTTCAGAGGCAGCCTACTTTCTCCATTCCACAGCTCTAAGGCCTATTTCCCCCTTCCCTGCTGTGAGAAGGCTTCCTTTCACCCTTACCTGTCTTTGATAAGGCCTAGTTTCTCCCTTCCCCAGCTCTAAGAAGGACTATTTTCCAACTTCCCCAGTTTGGAGACGGCCCACTTTCTCCCTTCCCCATCTCAAAGATGGCCTACTTTCTCCCTTCCTCAGTTCAGAGGCAGCCTACTTTCTCCCTTCCCCAGCTCTAAGTTCTATTTCGCCCTTTCCCTGCTGTGAGAAGGCTTCCTTTCACCCTTACCTGTCTTTGATAAGGCCTAGTTTCTCCCTTCCCCAGCTCTAAGAAGGACTATTTTCCACCTTCCCCAGTTTGGAGACGGCCCACTTTCTCCCTTCCCCAGCTCGGAGACAGCCTTCTTTCTCCCTTCCCCAGCTCAGAGACCACCTTCTTTCTCCCTTTCCCAGCTCAGAGACGACCTTCCCCCCCTTTTCCAGCTCAAAGGCCTACTTTCTCCCCTCCCCAGCTTAGCCAACTTTCTCCCTTCTCCAGCTCTAACATCTATTTTAAACCTTCCTCAGCTCAGAGATGGCCTGCTTTCTCCCTTCCACAGCTCTAAGGTCTGTTTCACCCTTTGAGAAGGCCTGCTTTCTCCCTTACCCTTCTTTGAGAAGGTCTACTTTCTCCCCTACCCTTCTTTGAAAAGGCCTCCTTTCTCCCTTCCCCAGCTCTAAGGTCTATTTCACCCTTCCCCTGCTGTGAGAAGGCCTTCTTTCTCCCTTACCCTTCTTTGAGAAGGTCTACCTTCTCCCCTTCCCTTCTTTGAGAAGGCCTGCTTTCTCCCTTACCCTTCTTTGAGAAGGCCTACTTTCTCCCTTCCCCAGCTCTAAGGCCTATTTCACCCTTCCCCTGCTGTGAGAAGGCCTCCTTTCTCCTTGCCCTTCTTTGAGAAGGCCTCCTTTCTCCCCTACCCTTCTTTGAGAAGGCCTACTTTCTCCCTTCCCCACCTCTAAGGCCTATTTTCCACCTTCCCCAGCTGTGAGAAGGCCTACTTTGTATTGTCGAAAGCTTTCATGGCTGGAATCACTGGGTTGTTGTAGGTTTTCTTTTGGGCTATATTACCATGTTCTAGAAGCATTCTCTCCTGACATTTCGCCTGCCTCTCTGGCAAGGATCCTCAGAGGTTGTGAGGTCTCTTCTTTGTGAAGGCCTAGTTTCTCCCTTCCCCAGCTCTATCTTCCACCTTACCCTGCTGTGAGAAGGCCTACTTTCTCCCTTACCCAGCTCTAAGGCCTATCTTCCACCTTACCCTGCTGCAAGAAGGCCTAGTTTTTTCCTTACCCAGCTCTAAGGCCTATTTTCTACCTTACCCTGCTGCAAGAAGGCCTACTTTCTCCCTTACCCAGCTCTAAGGCCTATTTTTCACCTTCCCCTACTGTGAGAAGGCCTACTTTCTCCCTTATCCTTCTGTAAGGCCTAGTTCCTTCCTTCCCCAGCTCTATTTTCCACCTTGTCTGGCTGTGAGAAGACCTACGTTCTCTCTTCTCCACTTCTGAGGAGGCTTATTTTTTTTCCTTCTACTATGAGAAAGCCTAGTTTCTCCCTTCCCCAGCTCTATTTTCCACCTTGTCTGGCTGTGAGAAGGCCTACTCTCTCTTTTCCACCTCTGAAGCTTTTTTCCCCTTCTACTATGAGAAAGCCTAGTTTCTCCCTTCCCCAGCTGTATTTTCCACCTTGCCCTGCTGTGAGGTCTACTTTCTCCCTTCCCCACTTATGAGGAGGCTTACTTTTTCCTTCTACTATGAGAAAGCCTAGTTTCTCCCTTCCCCAGCTCTATTTTCCACCTTGCCCTGCTGTGAGGTTTACTTTCTCCCTTCCCCACTTATGAGGAGGCTTACTTTTTCCTTCTACTATGAGAAAGCCTAGTTTCTCCCTTCCCCAGCTCTATTTTCCACCTTGTCTGGCTGTGAGAAGACCTACTCTCTCTCTTCTCCACTTCTGATGAGGCTTTTTTTCCCCTTCTGCTATGGGAAGGCCTAGTTTCTCCCTTCCCCAGCTCTATTTTCCACCTTGTTTGGCTGTGAGAAGACCTACTTTCTCTCTTCTCCACTTCTGAGGCAGCTTTCTTTCCCGTTCTGCTATGGGAAGGCCTACTTTCTCCCTTCCCCAGCTCTGAGGCAGCCCATTTCTTCCAGCTCTCTGACCAACCTCTTCTCTATGTTGGGCTGTCTGGCTTCTGGGCTTGGTTTTTGGTGGGGAGGGCAGTTGTGTTGGGAGACGTAGTTGAAGGTGGGGGCCGGGCGCTTGTCCACCCCTTTCCTGACTGGACCCCTTTTTGTGTCCCTCCATGCCACCCGCCTAAGGGCATTCGGGCCCCGCGAGGTAATGCCTGTCTCCAACTGCATGTCCGTGTGCTGCATGCCTTCCCTGTGGCTTTGCATGGCTGATGGGTGTCGCAGTCAAGGCCTACTTTCTCCCTTCCCCAGCTCTAAGGCCTATTTTCCACCTTCCCTGGCTGTGAGAAGGCCTACGGTGAAGCCAACTCCTCCTTTGGTCCCGATAGTACAAAAGGTGCGGATTGTGAGATGAGGACACTTCAGGTGGCAGAATATTACAGAGTGATGGTGCCACTGCTGTAAAGGCTCTGCGCCTGGTTGCTGGGTTAGAATCCTCTCTATGGGAATGTCACACTCTCTCAGCCTCAGAATCAATCTCGTCGAGGAGGCGCCACGAGTCTGGCTAAGTCAAGGCTTATTGATCGATTGGCACCAGAAATGCTCCAACCTGTGTCTCTGCATGCGTTTCCTGCCCTTGTTGTGACTCTCTTGGTTGCGTTGGATGGCGTGTTGTCATGCACTTTCTGTGTTATTGCGGTGGCTTTTTGGGAGACCCAATTCTTCATCGCTCATGTCAGGAGATGATGAACCCAAATGCCAAGGTCGTAATAATAATAATAATAATAATCCAGCATATAGATCTCGTTTGCTGTGACATACTGTCCGAATAATAATAATAATAATAATAATAATAATAATAATAATAATGCAACCCGACTCTTTTCTCTCTCCAGGCCTAGCTTCCAAAATGGATGTGGATGCTCCTTGCCAAGGGAACAGGTAGACTGCTCTTTCCAATGGGAGCTCTCTGCCTCTTTCTCTCTCTCAATTCCTCTGGCGCCCCGTCGCAGGGAGAGATGATCGACCGGATTGAATACAACGTGGAGCACGCTGTCGATTACGTGGAAAGAGCCGTCTCCGACACCAAGAAAGCGGTCAAGTACCAGAGCAAAGCCAGGAGGGTGAGACCTAGGAGCGTGCGCGTGTTTGCACACACAGGCAGGCCCCACCTTGGAAACAAGAGAGGTTCTGTAGCTTTGTCCTTAAGTTGAATTTGTATGTAAGTCGGAACAGAGATAGATAAGGATCGCACAGGGAAGGGTGAACACCACGGTGGTGTTTGTTTTGCTGCCTCAATTACGCAAGTATTTGTATTCCACCCTTCTCACCACTTTTGTCTTTCCTTCCTTCTTTCCTCCCATCCATCCTTCTCTTCCTCCCTTCCTTCTCTTTTTCCTTCCTCCTTCCCTTCCACCCTTTCATCCTTCCTTTCTTCCTTCCTCTCCTCCGTTCTCCTGACATCCTTGCTCCCTTCCTTCTCTTTTTCCTTCCTCCTTCCCTTCCACCCTTTCATCCTTCCTTCCTCTCCTCCGTTCTCCTGACATCCTTGCTTCCTCCCTTCTGTCTTTCCTTCCTCCTTCCCTTCCACCCTTTCATCCTTCCTTCCTCTCCTCCGTTCTCCTGACATCCTTGCTTCCTCCCTTCTGTCTTTCCTTCCTCCTTCCCTTCCACCCTTTCATCCTTCCTCTCCTCCGTTCTCCTGACATCCTTGCTCCCTTCCTTCTCTTTTTCCTTCCTCCTTCCCTTCCACCCTTTCATCCTTCCTTCCTCTCCTCCGTTCTCCTGCCATCCTTGCTTCCTCCCTTCTGTCTTTCCTTCCTCCTTCCCTTCCACCCTTTCATCCTTCCTTTCTTCCTTCCTCTCCTCCGTTCTCCTGACATCCTTGCTCCCTTCCTTCTCTTTTTCCTTCCTCCTTCCCTTCCACCCTTTCATCCTTCCTTCCTCTCCTCCGTTCTCCTGCCATCCTTGCTTCCTCCCTTCTGTCTTTCCTTCCTCCTTCCCTTCCACCCTTTCATCCTTCCTCTCCTCCGTTCTCCTGACATCCTTGCTCCCTTCCTTCTCTTTTTCCTTCCTCCTTCCCTTCCACCCTTTCATCCTTCCTTCCTCTCCTCCGTTCTCCTGCCATCCTTGCTCCTCTCTCTTTCTCCTTCCATCCTTCTTTCCTTCCCTCTTCCTCCCTCTCTCTCCTTCCTTCCCTTTCTTTCCTCCTCCCTTCTCTTCCTCCCTTCCTCCTTTTTCCTCTTCTTCCCTTCCACCCTTTCATCTTCCTTCCTTTTTTCCTTCTCCTTCCCTCCTCCCTTTTCCTCTCCTTCTTCTCCCTTTCTTTCCTTCTTCCTCCTTCCCTTCCATCTTTTCATCCTTCCCACCCTTTTGTTGTTCCTTCTTTCTCTCTTTCTCCTTCTTCCCTTTCTCTTCCCTCCCTTTCTCCTTCCATCCTTCCTCCTTTCTCCTTCCATCCCTTTCCTTTCCTTTCTTCTTTTTCCTTTATCTTTCCCTTTCTTCTGTCCTTTTTCTTTCCTTCTTCCCTTACACCTTTCATCCTTCCTTTATTCCCTTTTGTCTTTCCTTCCTTCCCTCTAGCCTCCCTCCTTCCCTCTCCTTCCACCATTCCCTTATACCCTTGCATCCTTCCTTTTTTCCCTCTTTCCTCCTCTCACCCTCTTTCTCCTTCCTTCCTTCCCTTTGTCTTTCCACCCTTTCATCCTTCCTTCCTTTTCTTTCCTTACTTCCTTTTTCCTTTCTTCCTTCCCTCTTCTCCTTTCTCCTGCCATCCTTGCTTCCTCCCTTCTGTCTTTCCTTCCTCCTTCCCTTCCATCTTTTCATCCTTCCTACCCTTTCCTTGTTCCTTCTTTCTCTCTTTTCTTCCTTCCTTCTTCCCTCTCCCTTCCCTCTCTTTCTCCTTCCATCCTTCCCTCTTCCCTCCCTCTCTCTTTCTTCCTTCCGCCCTTTCCTTTCCTTCCTTCCTTCCTTCCTTCCTTCCTTCCTTCCTTCCTTCCTTCTTTTTCCTTTATCTTTCCCTTCTCTTTTCTTTCCTTCCTTCCCTTTCCTCTCTCTCTCCTTTCCTTCCTTCCCTTTTCTCCTTCTTTCTTCTCTCTTTCCCTTCCTCCCCTTTTTCTCCTTCCTTCCTTCCCTTTTGTCTTTCCTTCCTTCCTTTTTTCCTCTATCCTTCCTCTCCTCCTTTCTCGCTCCTCTTTTCCCTCCCTCCACTCCCTTCCATCTTTTCATCCTTCCCACCCTTTTGTTGTTCCATCTTTTTCTCTTTCCTTCCTTCTTCCCTCTCTCCCTTCCCTCTCTTTCTCCTTCCTTCCGTCCCTTTTCTTTCTTTCTTTCTTCTTCTTCCTTTCTTTCCTTTCTTCCTTTCCTTTTTTTCTCTTCTTCCTTCCCTTCCCTTTTGTCTTTCCTTCCTTCCCTCTTTCCTCTCTCCTTCCATCATTCCCTTCCACCCTTTCGTCCTTCCTTTCTTCCCTCTTTCCTCCCTCTCATCCTCTTTCTCCTTCCTTCCTTCCCTTTTGTCTTTCCTTCCTTATTTCCTTTATACTCCCTTCCTTCCCTTTTTCCTCCCTTCCTCCCTTTCATCCTTCCTTCCTTCCCTTTTGTCTTTCCTTCCCTGTCTCCCTCTTTCTCCTTCCATCCATCCCTTCCTCCCTTTAGTATTTCCTTCCTTCTCTCTTCCCTTCCTCCTTCCCTTCCTTCCTTCCATCACTGGGAAGCCAGCCCTCCAAGCAGGGAGTGCTAACATTCAGCCCCCAAGTTAGAAACAGGAAGGCATCATTAAATCCCTCCCAACAGATGGCCATCCAGTCTCTATTAAAAAACCATACTGTGAAATCATAGACTTCTCAGAGTTGGAAGGGGTCCCCAAAGGCCATCTGGTCCAACCGCCTTAAGGCACCATTAAATCCCTCCCAACGGATGGCCACCCAGCCTCTGTTAAAAGTCCATGGAATCACAGGCTTCTCAGAATTGGAAGGAGTCCCCAAGGGCCATCCGGTCCAGCTGCCTTAAGGTACCATTAAATCCCTCCCAACAGACGGCCACCCCGACTTGGTTAAAAATACATATCGTGAAATTGTAGACTTCTCGGAGTTTGAAGGGGTCCCCAAAGGCCATCTGGTCCAACCGCTTTAAGGCACCATTAAATCCCTCCCAACAGATGGCCACCCAGACCCGGTTAAAAGTCCATACCATGGAATCATAGAGTTGGAAAGGGTCCCCAAAGGCCATCCGGTCCAACTGCCTTAAGGCACCATTAAATCCCTCCCAACAGATGGCCACCCAGCCTCTGTAAAAAATCCATACAATGGAATCATAGACTTCTCAGAGTTGGAATGGGTCCCCAAGGCCCATCTGGTCCAACCACCTTAAGGCACCATTAAATCCCTCCCAATAGATGGCCACCCAGACTCGGTTAAAAATACGTATCGTAAAATTGTAGACTTTTCAGAATTGGAAGGGGTCTCCAAAGGCCATCCGGCCCAACCCCCTTCTGTCATGTAGGAAGGCACAATTAAAGCCCTCCCGACAGACGGCCACCCAGCCTCTGCTTTGAACCCTCCAGAAGGGGGATTGTTGTGCTAGGGAGAGACTCCTGCGCCTATGGTGGACCGTGACCCTTCCCTTCCTGTCTTGGCAGAAGAAGATCATGATCATCATCTGCTGCGTGGTGCTGGGAGTGGTCATCGCCTCCACCGTCGGAGGGATTTTCGCCTGAGCGGGAAGAGCGGCGGACTGTATCCCCTTGGGCCACGCGGGAGAGCAGGACCCAGCGTCCCCCGTCCCCCCCACTGAGCCTTACAGCGGCCGGGAAAGGGCCCCCAAATGGGCATTCGGCACTCCTGTCTCTAATGCATGATCTTTCGTGTTAATGCTGTGTGTCGAGTACAAGGTGTGTGTTCCCAAGGGGGGCGGGCTGCACGCAAAGCGGACGCCGGAGGAGGGGGGGGCTTTAGCAGAGACCCCCCTTTGCAGCATCCCACTGCCTTTGGGGTCCCTCCAAACTCAAGGTTTGATCCTAAACCCAGACGTATTTTCCTTCCTTTCCTTGTTCATTAATATAAACAAAGGATCTAATTCACAGCCAAAGGAATAAACATTTGGGAAGAGGGACCAGAGAGAAGAACGAAAACACATACATGCATGCATGCATGCATACATACATACATACATACAAACGTATACTGTGTACTTGGGATTTCCCAGATATGCATTTTCTTGGTGGCTCATTTTTTCCTTCCTTCTTTTCTCTCATACACCTTCCTCCTTCTTCGGACTTTCTTTACTTTCTCTTCCTTCCTTTCCCTTTCTTTTTTCTTCCTTCTCTCTTCCCTTCCCCTCATACACGTCATTGCTTTCCCCATGAAATTACTTCCCTTCTTCCTCTGCCCTCCCCTCCACATCTTTTCCTCTTCCTTTCTTCTCCCCACTCTTCCTTTCTCTTCTCTTCTTTATTTCCCTCCACTCATACCTCTTCTCCTTTCCCCTCTTCCTTCCCTCCATCCTTTTCCGTTCTTCCCTTCTTTTCCCATTTCTTTCCTGCCTTCCTTTCCCCATGAATTCCCTTCTCTTCTCGTTCTTCCCTCCACTCCTCATACTTCTTTTCCTTTCCTTTCCTTTCCCCTTCCCCATCTCTTTTCCTTCTTTCCTCTCCTTCATAACTTTCCCTTCTCTGCCTCCCTTTTTCTTTCTTTCCTTCCTCCCCTTCATACTCTTCCCACTTTTCTTCTCTGCCTTCCTTCCTTCCTTTCCTTCCTTCCATACCTTTCCCCCTTTCTCTTCTCTGCCTTCCTTGCTTCCCTCCTTTTTCTCTTTTCTGCCTTTCTCCCCTTCATATCTTTTCCTTCTCTGTCTTCCTTCCCTCTTTTTCTTTCCTTCCTCCCCTTCATATCTTTCCCCCTTTCCTTTCTCTGTCTTCCTTCCTTCCCTTTCTTTCTCTTTCCTTCCTTCCTACTTTCATATCTTTCACTTCTCTGCCTTCCCTCCCTTTCTTTTTCCTTCCTCTCCTTCATACGTTTCCCTCTTTCCTTTCTCTGCCTTTCTTCCCTCCCTTTTTCTCTTTCCTTCCTTCTATACCGTTCCCCCTTTCCCTTCTCCGTCTTCCTTCCTTCCCTCTTTTTCTTTCTTTCCTTCCTTCCATACCTTTCCCTTCTCTTCCTTCCTCCCTTCCCTCTTTTTCTTTCTTTCCTTCCTTCTTCCTTTCATCCCTTTCCCTTGTCTTTCTTTCTTTTTCCTTCCTCCCTTTTCCTTCTCTGCCTTCCTTCCCTCCTTTTTCCTTTCTTTCCTCCCTCCCTCCCCTTCATACCTTTCACTTTCCTTTTTCTGCCTTCCTTGCTTCCCTCCTTTTCTTTTTCTTTCCTTCCTTCCTTCCTTCCCATAACAGCGGCCAATCTGCTTCCCTCCCTTTCTTTTTCTTTTTCGTTCCTCCCCTTCACACCTTTCCTCTTTTCCTTTCTCTGCCTACTTTTCTTCCCTCCTTTTTCTCTTTCCTTCTTCCTTTCATCTTTCCCTTATCTTCCTTTCTTTTTCTTTTTCCTTCCTCCCCTGCATACCTTCCTCACTTTCCCTTCTCTTTCTGCCTCCCTTCCCTCTTTTTCTCTCTTTCCTTCCTTCTTCCTTTCACCTTTCCCTTATCTTCCTTTCTTTTTCTTTTTCCTTCCTCCCCTGCATACCTTCCTCCCTTTCCCTTCTCTGCCTTCCTTCCCTCCTTTTTCTTTTCTTTTCCTTTCTTTCCTTCCTTCCTTCTTTCCTCCCTCCCCTTCATACCTTTCCCACTTTCCTTTTTCTGCCTTCCTTGCTTTTCCCTCCTTTTCTTTTTCTCTTTCTTTCCATCCTTCCTTCCCATAACAGCGGCCAATCCGCTTCCCTCCCTTTCTTTTTTTGTGGTACCAGAGGGCCACTTCACCTAGCAATAGGGAATCCTTCCCAGATCCACATTCTTCCTTCCCTTTCTCAAGTTGGGCCATGAAAGGTCTGTGTGGGTCCAGATCCCTCAAGCCACGGAGGAGGAGCCTTTGTGTACAGACCCACATACATACACTCATCCTTTGGCGTTGGAGATGTGTAGATGACGAACTACCAGCAGTGCAGGGGGGACTGGCTGCCCCCTCCGGACCCCGCTTGCCCCTCCGCGCCCTCTGCCCCATCCCATCTCTTTGTGCCTGCCTTTGTTGCATGTCCGAACGGCGCCGTCGCGTCTCTCTCTTTGGGAAGCGATTTGTGCGACTCCAAGCCAGCCAAAACGCGCCTTCCTTTCCCTTCCGGAGGGGCTGCAAACTGCCACGACCCTCGTCCCTCGGCCTCCTTCGGTCTTTCCAGCCAAACACGTGTGTGGGGTCTTTGGGGAGGCCTTCTCCGGCGTGAATACGTAACCCAAGTGCCCTTGTCTTTCTTGTCGCCCTTGCTTCCTTTTCCCGGTGGATTTCCGTCTGTTGCCTTTTTGTTCCCTCCGTCCGACTTCGAAGGAGAGGGGCCAACAAAAGCCGTTTCCTTTTTTTTCCTGGGTGGAATTTTACGTACAACAATAATAATAATAATAATAATAATAATAATAATAATAATAATAAAGCATTTATATCCGTTAAGCTTTCTTTCGGACTCTTCTGTGGGGGAAAAAGAGCAGACCTTCGGACTTCCGCACCCCCGTTTCAGAGCCATCTGCAACTCTGGGAGGCCCGGGTTCGAATCCGTGGATGACCAAGTTATGCTTTGTAGAACGAATGCACTGTTAATAGCCACGGCTCAAGGGTGTTTAATTAAGCAGGTGCAATCTGTCAAAAATTGGTTCTCAACCAGTGTTCTCAACCCCTGGGAGGGCCGCAAGGGGGTGTCAGAGGGGTTGCCAAAGACCATCAGAAACACACAATATTTTCTGTTGGTCATGGGGGTTCTGTGTGGGACGTTTGGCCCAATTCTATCGCTGGTGGGGCTTACAATGGTCTGAGGTGAACTATAAATCCCAGCAACTACAACTTCCAAATGTCAAGGTCTGTTTTCCACAACTCCAGTGTTCATTTCTGGGCATACTGAGTATTTGTGCCAAGTTTGGTCCAAAGTGCTGTTCCAGCAGTCACCAGCCAATCCCTCTCCAATGCCAGAAATACAACTTAATGGTGTAACATTGGAAAATGTTGACCATTTCCGCTCCCTTGGCAGCCACCTCTCCACCAAAGTCAACATCGACACCAAAATACAACACCACCTGAGCTCTGCGAGTGCAGCATTTTTCCGAATGAAGCAGAGAGTGTTTGAGGACCGGGACATCCGTAGGGAGACCAAGGGGCTTGTCTATAAAGCTACTGTCCTCCCAACCCTGCTCTATGCCTGCGAAACGTGGACTGTCTACAGACGTCACATGCAATTCCTGGAACGATTCCATCAGCGCTGCCTTCGGAAAATCCTGCAAATCTCTTGGGAAAACGGGTGGGGAAACATCAGCGTGCTGGGAGAAGCAAAGACCACCAGCATTGAAGCGATGCTCCTCCGCCATCAACTCCGCTGGACCGGCCACGTTGTCCGGACGCCTGACCACCGTCTCCTAAAGCAGTTGTTCTACTCCGAACTCAAGAACAGAAAACGGAATGTCGGTGGACAGGAAAAGAGATTGAAAGATGGCCTCAAAGACAACCTTAAGAACTCTGGCATAGACACTGAGAACTTGGAAGCCCTGGCCCTTGAGCGCTCCAGCTGGAGGTCAGCTGTGACCAGCAGTGCTGCAGGTCTGTTTTCCCCAGCCTCCACCAGTCTTGCGTATCAGATATCTACATGAAGATTTATAACAGGAGCAAAATTACAGTTGTGAAGGAGCAATGAAAATAACGTTATGGTTGGGGGTCACCGCAACACAAGAAACTGTATTCAGGGGTTGTTTCGGAAATAGCTTCGTATGCACAAATTTAAAGAACCAAATCTGAGTTCTGAAATTTTGCATATTTTTTCACAAGGCTAGTGTTTATAGTTTGGAGAGGCTCCAGAACCCTTTGGCAGAGGAAGGTAAAACTACAAATCCCATGATTCCATAAAGCGTCGTCAAACTGCATTTGTTCGAAAGATCTGAAGACCCACATTCCGCTCCTTCCTCCAAACAAAGCAGCCACGGCACATCATCCAGTCCACATTTAATTGGCAAGAAACCTGCGCAAAAGAGTGGATACCTGCAGCTTGGTTGGGCCTCTATCACACTCTCGATCCCAAATTGTTGTTTTCCAGCCTCCAAGAACAAAGGCCTTCCTAAAATGTGCAGAGTCCCATCACTGAGTCGAAGCAGAGGATCAAAAATGGGGCCTTCGTTTCCGGGCTGTGTATTTCGTGTCCGCTCGCACTTCCCTGCAGTCGATGGTGGGAGGGAAACGGAAAAATAAAATAAAATACTACACTTAGGTGATAACAATGCAGAGATATAGGATGAGAGACACCTAGATGAAATATATAGGTAAAATTAGTAAAATTAATATTTGGATCGGCTTATACTCAAGTATATATGGTATCTCCAGTCAATTTAAGAAGGAATGCAGAGGGATATGATGTAAATAGTCAACAGAGGAGTTGGGAATCGTCCCCTCCATGATTGCCCACTTTACTTTAATCTAATAGATAAAAGTTAAAGGTTTTCCCCTGGCATTAAGTCTAGTTGTGTCCGGTTATTTATTATTATTTTATTATTTACGATATTTGTATACCGCTCTTCTCAGCCCTCGGGCGACTCAGAGCGGTTAGCAAAATTCAGTGCTCAAAAACATCATAAAACAGTTAAAAGTAATTAAAACAGCAGATTCTGGGACTCTGGCACTCATCTCAATTTCTAGGCCAAAGAGCCGGTGTTGTCCATAGACGCCTCCAAAGTCATGTGGCCAGCATGACTGCATGGAGCACTGTTACTTTCCCTATTGATCTACTCACATTGGCATGTTTTCGAACTGCTAGGTTGGCACAAGCTGGGGCTAACCGTGGGAGCTCACCCCGCTCCCCGGATTGGAACCTGCAACCTTTTAGTCAGCAAGTTCAGCAGCTCAGCGCTTTAACCCACTGCGCCACCGGGCTCAGTTTGAGAGCGGTCTCTGTGGGAGAAGGGCCTCAGTGTGTTACTAAGCCTCGGTATGAGGAGGCCTCAGTGTTAGTTCACTTCACTGGGAGAAAGGCTTCAGTCTGAAGAAGCCCTCAGTGTTAGCAGACCTCAGTGAGAGAGTCCTCAGTCTGATAGGCCTCAGTCTGAGAGAGGTCTCTGTGGGAGAAGGGCCTCAGTGTGTTACTAAGCCTCAGTATGAGGAGGCCTCAGTGTTAGTTCACTTCACTGGGAGAAAGGCCTCAGTCTGAAGAAGCCCTCAGTGTTAGCAGACTTCAGTGAGAGAGGCCTCAGTATGATAGGCCCCAGTCTGAGAGAGGTCTCTGTGGGAGAAGGGCCTCAGTGTGTTCGTAGGCCTCAGTATGAGGAGGCCTCAGTGTTAGTTCACTTCACTGGGAGAAAGGCCTCAGTCTGAAGAAGCCCTCAGTGTTAGCAGACCTCAGTGAGAGAGGCCTCCATATGATAGGCCCCAGTCTGAGAGAGGTCTCTGTGGGAGAAGGGCCTCAGTGTGTTGGTAGGCCTCAGTATGTGGAGGCCTCAGTGTTAGTTCACCTCACTGGGAGAAAGGCCTCAGTCTGAGGGAGCCCTCTAATGGAGGATCTCAAAGCATCTGAAACATCATTGAATGAACTGGTATGATTGCGGTCTGGCTCATGGCCTATGAAGGCTTGCCAAGGCTGAAGACACCATCCTAAGACATTTGGAGCCTGGAAAACTGCATTAAGGAGGTGAAGAAAAGTGCTGAGGAAGAAAAACTGCTCACAACAACCGATCTGGGAGCTTTTAGTGTAAACAGCACACGTTTTCGTGACAGGGAGAGAACCCCAGCATCACTTACTTGCCCTGCCGCCGCCTCCGCTCTTTCTTTTCCAAAACCCAGTCCCGGCCCTTCTTCACCGACTTCCCTTTGGCGTTCCGGAAGCGCGCCCTTCAAAGAAGCAAGATGCATCAGCACACAGGGAACCCTGACTAGCCCAATCCCTTGTTTGATTTTGCCCGAGACCTCTCTTCTTCTTCGGCTCCCATTCTGCGATGTTTCATTCCGCTAACCTATCTTGCAAGCGTTCACTCTGGCAAGGACACATGCTTGCCCTATCTATCTATCTACCTACCTACCTACCTACCTACCTACCTATCTATCTATCTATCTATCTATCTATCTATCTATCTATCTATCTGTAAGCCCTCCAAACAAATGGTTGCCCACAGAATTGTGCTGGAGGACCAACCAAGGCGAAAAATAGTGTTTGCACATTTTATTTATCTTCATGCTGTCAGAAATATTAAAACCTATCTAGGTATTTTTAACTACAAAAATGTGAAAAGGGTTAAATGGGTGCATTGACTTAGCAAAAGCTGCAGTTCAATATAAGCAGGTGTGCCTGTAGCTTAGTAGCTCTCAGTCTGAGAGAGATCTCTGTGGGAGAAGGACCTCAGTGTATTAGTAGGCCTCAGTATGAGAAGGTCTCAGTGTTAGTCTGCCTCAGTGGGAGAAAGGCCTTCCTTAGTCTGAAGGAATCCTCAGTGTTAGCAGACCTCAGTGAGAGAGACCTCAGTATGATAGGCCTCAGTCTGAGAGAGGTCTCTGTGGGAGAAGGGCCTCAGTGTGTTAGTAGGCCTCAGTATGAGAAGGCCTCAGTGTTAGTCTGCCTCAGTGGGAGAAAGGCCTCAGTCTAAAGGAGTCCTCAGTGTTAGCAGACCTCAGTGAGAGAGGCCTCAGTCTGAGAGCGGTCTCTGTGGGAGAAGGGCCTCGATGTGTTAGGAGGCCTAGGTATGAGAAGATCTCAGTGTTAGTCTGCCTCAGTGGGAGAAAGGCCTCAGTCTGAAGGAGTCCTCAGTGTTAGCAGACTTCAGTGAGAGAGGCCTCTGTGTGATAGGCCTCGGTCTGAGAGCGGTCTCTGTGAGAGAAGGACCTCAGTGTGTTAGTAGGCCTCAGTCTGATAGGCCTCAGTCTGAGAGCAGTCTCTGTGAGAGAAGGACCTCAGTGTGTTAGTAGGCCTCAGTATGAGGAGGCCTCAGTGTTAGTCTGCCTCAGTGGGAGAAAGGCCTCAGACTGAAGGAGTCCTCAGTGTTAGCAGACCTCAGTGAGAGATGCCTCAGTATGATAGGCCTCAGTCTGAGAGAGATCTCTGTGGGAGAAGGGCCTCAGTGTGTTAGTAGGCCTCAGTATGAGAAGGTCTCAGTGTTAGTCTGCCTCAGTAGGAGAAAGGCCTCAGTCTAAAGGAGTCCTCAGTGTTAGCAGACCTCAGTGAGAGAGGCCTCAGTCTGAGAGCGGTCTCTGTGGGAGAAGGGCCTCGGTGTGTTAGGAGGCCTAGGTATGAGAAGATCTCAGTGTTAGTCTGCCTCAGTGGGAGAAAGGCCTCAATCTGAAGGAGTCCTCAGTGTTAGCAGACTTCAGTGAGAGAGGCCTCAATCTGATAGGCCTCAGTCTGAGAGCGGTCTCTGTGAGAGAAGGACCTCAGTGTGTTAGTAGGCCTCAGTATGAGAAGGTCTCAGTGTTAGTCTGCCTCAGTGGGAGAAAGGCCTCAGTCTAAAGGAGTCCTCAGTGTTAGCAGACCTCAGTGAGAGAGGCCTCAGTCTGAGAGCGGTCTCTGTGGGAGAAGGGCCTCGATGTGTTAGGAGGCCTAGGTATGAGAAGATCTCAGTGTTAGTCTGCCTCAGTGGGAGAAAGGCCTCAGTCTGAAGGAGTCCTCAGTGTTAGCAGACTTCAGTGAGAGAGGCCTCTGTGTGATAGGCCTCGGTCTGAGAGCGGTCTCTGTGAGAGAAGGACCTCAGTGTGTTAGTAGGCCTCAGTCTGATAGGCCTCAGTCTGAGAGCAGTCTCTGTGAGAGAAGGACCTCAGTGTGTTAGTAGGCCTCAGTATGAGAAGGTCTCAGTGTTAGTCTGCCTCAGTGGGAGAAAGGCCTCAGACTGAAGGAGTCCTCAGTGTTAGCAGACCTCAGTGAGAGATGCCTCAGTATGATAGGCCTCAGTCTGAGAGAGATCTCTGTGGGAGAAGGGCCTCAGTGTGTTAGTAGGCCTCAGTATGAGAAGGTCTCAGTGTTAGTCTGCCTCAGTAGGAGAAAGGCCTCAGTCTAAAGGAGTCCTCAGTGTTAGCAGACCTCAGTGAGAGAGGCCTCAGTCTGAGAGCGGTCTCTGTGGGAGAAGGGCCTCGGTGTGTTAGGAGGCCTAGGTATGAGAAGATCTCAGTGTTAGTCTGCCTCAGTGGGAGAAAGGCCTCAATCTGAAGGAGTCCTCAGTGTTAGCAGACTTCAGTGAGAGAGGCCTCAATCTGATAGGCCTCAGTCTGAGAGCGGTCTCTGTGAGAGAAGGACCTCAGTGTGTTAGTAGGCCTCAGTATGAGAAGGTCTCAGTGTTAGTCTGCCTCAGTAGGAGAAAGGCCTCAGTCTAAAGGAGTCCTCAGTGTTAGCAGACCTCAGTGAGAGAGGCCTCAGTCTGAGAGCGGTCTCTGTGGGAGAAGGGCCTCAGTGTGTTAGTAGGCCTCAGTATGAGAAGGTCTCAGTGTTAGTCTGCCTCAGTAGGAGAAAGGCCTCAGTCTAAAGGAGTCCTCAGTGTTAGCAGACCTCAGTGAGAGAGGCCTCAGTCTGAGAGCGGTCTCTGTGGGAGAAGGGCCTCGGTGTGTTAGGAGGCCTAGGTATGAGAAGATCTCAGTGTTAGTCTGCCTCAGTGGGAGAAAGGCCTCAATCTGAAGGAGTCCTCAGTGTTAGCAGACTTCAGTGAGAGAGGCCTCAGTCTGATAGGCCTCAGTCTGAGAGCGGTCTCTGTGGGAGAAGGGCCTCAGTGTGTTAGTAGGCCTCAGTATGAGAAGGTCTCAGTGTTAGTCTGCCTCAGTGGGAGAAAGGCCTCAGACCGAAGGAGTCCTCAGTGATAGCAGAACTCAGTGAGAGAGGCCTCAGTATGATAGGCCCCAGTCTGAGAGTGGTCTCTGTGGGAGAAGGGCCTCAGTGTGTTAGGAGGCCTCAGTATGAGAAGGCCTCAGTGTTAGTCTGCCTCAGTGGGAGAAAGGCCTCAGTCTGAAGGAATCCTCAGTGTTAGCAGACCTCAATGAGAGAGGCCTCAGTATAATAGGCCTCAGTTTGAGAGCGGTCTCTGTGGGAAAAGAGCCTCGGTGTGTTAGTGGGATTCAGTATGAGAAGGCCTCAGTTGGAGGAAGGCCTCAGTGTAAGCAGGCCTCAGTCTGAGGCAGCCCTCAGTCTGTGAGAGGTCTCTGTGGGAGAAGGGCCTCAGTGTGAGAAGGCCTGGTGTGAGAAGCTTTGGTGTGTGAAGGTCCAGGGTGAAGGCTGCTGTGTGTAAAAAGCTACTGTATGAAGCTTTTATTATTACATTTATTATTTTACTCTATTATTTATTATTTTAGTCTATTTGTTATTGTTATATGTATTATTTTACTTCATTATCATTACATTTATTATTTTACTCTATTACTGTTTTTATTACATTTCCATTAATTTACTCTCTTTATTATTATTGGAAGGACACGTAAGCACATTTACATCAAAGGAGGTTAGAATAATGGTTTAATCAGAGTTAGTCTTATCTTAAATTGCAGTTTTATGTCAGTATTTCAAAACATTTATACTAGGGATGCCTCAATTAATGTGATTTTATTGGTATCTATTTTTATTTTGACATTTACCAGTAGCTGGTGCATTTCCCACCCTCAACTTCTACTCAAGTCAATTACAGCCACACAACCTTTCCCCACTGCACGTTGAGTTGAAGGTATCCACTGCTGACAGGCCTTCCAATATGACACGGCAGAACAATGACAGATTATTATAAAGGTATATTTGCCATGGGTTTAGGTCTAGATTCCAAGTGAAGGGCCATTCCCAATCGATAGGATGTCCGAGTCAGGAAAACGTGGCAACCAAGAGCTGCAAGGTGCCACGACAATAGTTCTCTGCAAATTACTGTCTGTCTCTCCCGTGAGCCATGGAAAGGGTGAAGTTGCCCTCTATGGCTTTTGTAAGGGACGAGACGCGGCCAAGGGGCCTGCAAGAGGAAAAACATGCTCAACTGGCTTTTAAATAGCTCTGTTTTGGGGAGAAAACCACTGTGACCAACTTTAAATTCTTGTGGGGTGGGGGGACTTGTCAGAAATATTTAAAACATTGGTATTTTAAATTACAAAAATGTTAGTCAAGCACTGAAAGGGTTAAATGGATGCAATGACTCAAAAAGGCTGTAGTTCTATATTAGCAGGTGTACCTGTAGCTTAGTAGCCTTCAGTGTGAGAGAGGCCTCAGTGGGAGAAAGGCCTCAGAGTGAAGAGGCCCCAGTATGAGAAGGTCCCTGTGTAGGAAAGCCTCAGTGTGAGGTAGGCCTCAGTGTTAGTTTGCCTCAGTGTGACAGGCCTCAGTGTGAGTGAGGCCTCAGTGTGAGAGAAGCCTCAGGTTTAAGGTCATAGTGTGGGAAGCTCCAGTGTGAAGGCTGCTGTATGTAAAGCTACTACCCTAATCTAGGCATCGCCGGGTATTTAAAGTAGTTCAAAATAAAAGGCGGCCTAGTTAGTTACCTTTCCTGGGTGAACTTGGCCTGTGTGTTCTCTTCCATGCTGCATTCTGCTCCGAGTCCCTACAAACAGAGAAGAAGCATTTTTTATTTTCTAGCAGGCGACAGGAGAAGACTGAAGCATCTGCCTCTTTTTCGACAGATTAGAGACCAGAGGACTGTCAGGAAAGCCCTCCGAAGGTCTCCAGTTACAAGACAACTGCCATCCTAATGCCTTCTTTGCCTCTCATTGAAGGCAATTAATATGGGAATAGGGTGCTCTGGCTGCCCTTAAACCCATCATCCCCAACTGGGTTTCTTTACCTTTGGTAACACGTCACTTGTGCCGACAAAGAGGCAGAGGAAGAACCTGGGGAAAAAAAGAGATATGTGGATATTGTATTGTCGAAGGCTTTCATGGCTGGAATCACTAGGTTCTTGTGGGTTTTTTCGGGCTATAGAGCCATGTTCTAGAGGCATTTCTCCTGACGTTTCGCCTGCATCTATGGCAAGCATCCTCAGAGGTTGAGAAGGTCCTTCTCAACCTCTGAGGATGCTTGCCATAGATGCAGGCGAAACGTCAGGAGAAATGCCTCTAGAACATGGCTCTATAGCCCGAAAAAACCCACAAGAACCTATGTGGATATTGACCATCATATAGCGATGCCATTGGGAGGCCCTTTCTATCCGGACCAAGCAAGAGTCTAGCAATAGAGTCCAACTGCAAGAGATCCCGCCTAAACATTAGGAAGACATTACTGAGGGTTGGAGAGGTTGGAAAGTGGAATAAGTTGCCTGGGAGTCCATTGGAGTCTCTTTCTCTGGAGGTTTTTAAACAGAGGCTGGATGGCCATCTGTTGAGAAGGGTTGGATGGTGTGTCTTTAGGAGGAGCCTTCCCAAAATAAGGAAAATTCCCAGCAACATGTCCTCAGAATACACTTTACTACTAGTTTAGGATTGACTGCGCTCCCTCATCCCTCTTTTAAAACCCAATACCAGATATATCCTGCCTTGTTGATGCCCAGCGTTTATTTTTTAATTTTTAAGCTATTACATTTGGCCCGGCCATAGGTTTTTAAATCCTTGTGTGTTACTGTTTATTGGTTATTGTTTATATGTGATTTATATTAATTGTGTTGTATTTATTGTTTTTGTTTATTGCTTTCTTGTTTTATTGATGTGTTGTTGGGATTGGCTTCATGTAAGCCGCTCCGAGTCCGTTGGGGAGATGGTGGCGGGGTATAAATAAAGTATTATTATTATTATTATTATTATTATTATTATTAAGGAAGGATGTCTTTTCCTTCTATTTGAACCCATGGCTCCATTGTGTCAAAGACTCCAGAGCAACAGAAAGCAACTTTTCCTCCTTCTCCTCAATGTGGACATCGTCCAACTATTTAAACATGGCTCTCATGTCTCTTTCTCTCAGCCTAATTTACTCCAAGCTAAACATACGCGGGTCTCATTGAGTTTTTCAGGGGTAGCCCCAAAAGGCCCAGGATTGGGGACAATGTGTCCCCTAAACCCAAACAGTTGCCCACTTGTGCAGTAGACATCGTCCAAGATGGAGTTTCGGGGTACAGTGTCATCTGTACGCGGATGATGTCCAACCCTGTCACTCTTTTCCACCTGCTACTAAGGAGGCTGTTGAGGTCCTGAACCGGTGCTTGGCCGCTGTAACGGTCTGGATGAGGGCGAACAAATTGAAATTGAGTCCAGACAAGACAGAGGTACTCCTGGTCAGTCGCAAGGCCGAACAGGGAGTAGGGTTACAGCCTGTGTTGGATGGGGTTCCACTCCCCCTGAAGATGCAGGTTCGCAGCTTGGGAGTGATCTTGGACCCGTTGCTGGGCCCGGAACCCCAGGTTTCAGTGGTGACCAGGGGAGCTTTCGAACAGTTAAAACTTGTGTGCCAGCTGCGCCCGTACCTTGGGAAGTCTGACTTGGCCACGGTAGTCCATGCTCTGGTTACATCCCACATAGACTACTACAATGCTCTCTATGTGGGGTTGCCTTTGAAGACTGCTCGGAAGCTTCAAATGGTCCAGCATTCGGCAGCCAGGTTGCTAACAGGAGCCGCACTCAGGGAGCATACAACTCCTCTGTTGCGCCAGCTCCACTGGCTGCCAGTTTGCTACCGGGCTCAATTCAAAGTGCTGGCTTTAGCCTATAAAGCCCTAAACGGTTCTGGCCCAACTTACCTCTCCGAACGCATCTCCTCCTACGAACCGGCTAGGACACTAAGATCATCTGGGGAGGCCCTGCTCTCTATCCCGCCTGCATCACAGGCATGCTTGGCGGGGATGAGAGACAGGGCCTTCTCAGTGGTGGCCCCTCGGCTGTGGAATGCCCTGCCTGCAGATATCAGATTGGCCCCCTCCCTGCTGGCGTTTCGGAGGAAAATGAAGACCTGGCTGTTCAAACAAGCATTTGATTAAACAGTGTAACTGAACATAGGAATACGGAATAATGGATGAAGAGACTGGATTCTGATTTTACTGTTGAGGCGCTAATTTTTATTATACGGATGTTTCATGATTTATGTTACAATTGTTTTTAATTGCCCTACACTTGTCTTGTGATGTTTTGTATCGATGTTGTTCACCGCTTTGAGTCGCCTGAGGGCTGAGAAAAGCGGTATAGAAATAAAGTAAATAAATAAATAGACCCCAAACTTTCTGCCCAAAGCCGTTTCCCTGCTCCAGATAGAAAAGAGACTCACTTCTTGGCTTTGGCACTGTTGGGGTAGTCCACCACCATCCCGCCGGTGAAGCCCGCCTTCATGGCTTGAGCAGTGATGAGCTCCAACTGGAAGGAGAGAAAAGCGTCCAGATGAGGCCCAAGCGAACAGAGGAGTTGGACCAGATGGCTCTTGTTGTGCCACCTGTGCCTATTAATGGCCTTGATTCAATCTCTGTGCTAGTCCGTGAGCCACGGAATGAGCGTCAAGAAAAAGAACAGCAGACTTTAAACCAAGGGCCTGTCAGGATTGATTGAGGTATTATATGTATTATGTGTAGCAAATATGGATGCCACTGAGAATGGAAATGCTGTACTGAAATGTTTATGTTGAGGCTGTGATTAAGTGACCTTAAGATAAGCTCTCTTCTGCGGAGAACTTCTAGGGAGTTGCCGCTTGGAGCAAGAAAGATTAACAGCTGCAAAGTTCTGTTTTGACTTTCGGCTTTCCTGTCTCTTCCTGTGTGTCGCTCGCTGTAGATGGACGTATTTTTCTGTGCTTAGTAAACTGAGTTTTCTTTTGTAACCAAAGTCTTCAGAGTCCTTGATTTCAGAGCTGTGTCTGGTGGATCTAGCATTTCGCTTCTGTCAAGTTGCACCTTAGCTTGACATGGCCCTGCCATGCCCCCCACAGAGGCTTTTACTATTTTCTTTATTCAGCCTCAGTTGGCCCTTAGTTAGAATCGGTTCAGCTTCTTTTTGTAGTTTTCCGTGGGAGGAAACCTTAATTAGACGCTGTCCCTTTAAGAACACCCTTCCTCGGAGGTAGAGGCTGAAATAATGTCCAGGGTGGGAGAAAGAACTCTTCAATGCTTGAGGCAAGTGTGAATGGAATTCCTGTCAGGAAAAAACCAGGGCCAGCTAACGCCTCCAACAAAGGATTCCCGCAGGCAGCAACCAGCTAGGCTTTGAAGCTGCAAGGCCCTTAAATTTATTTATTTATTTGTTTGTTTACAGCTGTTAAATTCCGCCCTTCTTCTCACCCCGCAGGGGACTCAGGGCGGATTACAGTGTACACATATATGGCAAACATTCAATGCCAATTTTTGACATACAAGCATATACAGACATACACAGAGGCTATTTAACTTTTTCTGGCCGCCAGGGGAGCTGTCACTTTCATCGTCCATCTGTGACACTGATGAAGCACTTCCGCATTCCCCGCATGCTTCCCTGCTGGAATGCTTTGCTGGAGTCTTCTTTATGGCGTCATAAATCAGTTAATTTAGCCTCCCCACACTTTAAGGTGGTACCTAATTTTCCTACTTGACAGATGCAACTGTCTTTCGGGTTGCAAAGGTCGACAACAGGCTACACACAATTGGTTGGAAACCCACTCCCAACCCAGGCTGGCTTCAAACTCATGACCTTTTGGTCAGAGTGATCTTAATGCAGCTGACACTCAGCCAGCTGCGCCACAATCCCAGTGCTCATCAATGGGGCGAATTGCAACATTCACACTTGACTCCAGCAGTTGTTTGCAAGTTGGGTGTTTGTAACTCGGGGGCTTATTGTAAATCAAGGAAAAGCTTCATGAGAACCACCACTCCTCTGAATGTTCCTTCAGAAACAGCAGAAGCATCCCTCTGGGCAGCTAAACCAGGAATTCCCAACTGGATGGCCCCCCACAAGGATCTTCCTCCAGAATGGTGGAATTGGAAGTCCCTGGACAGACTCAGAAGTCGAGTGGACAGATCAACAGACAACCTGGCGAAACGGCACAACCTAGAAGAATTCTCCACCTGGCGTGACTGTGGAGCAGAACCAACACCTCGGCATCTGTATGGTTGCCCTCCACGCCCTGCCTCATGCACAGAGGAGGAACTGTTTTTTTAAAATATATATTTTATTATTTTATCATGGTTTAATACATTTATTATACATTTGTTTTTACAGCAGATACATGTTATTCATTGCAACCTAACTTACTTTTGGCATCTAGTGTTATTTTTCTGCTTATACATATTATCTATCCCTCACCGCTGTGCTCCCACCCCCATTCCCAAGCCACAGTTTTTGCATATCATCTGTCCAAAATTTCGATTCTTCCTTCTTTATTTTTTAATCCTTTTTCGATAAATTTTCTCCATACATCATCAAAATCACTTTGTTTCCATATCCCTCTTTTAACTTTTAATATACATGTCAGCTTATCATTTATTGCCAATTTCCATACTTCCTTGCACACTCCTCTATTTGTATATTTATTTCTTTTTTCCAGTTCCTTGCTATAAGCAGTCTTGCTATTGTTAATAAATTTGTTATCGCATCTTTATCCTCTTTTTTCAATTGTTTATTGTTATATAATGATAATAAGGCTATGCTAGGACTTCTTTCTATTTTAATATTTTAATATTCATTATATCTTCTATTTCTCTAAATACTTTCCCCCCAAAATTATTTACATATTTACATTGCCATCACATATGTATATATGTTCCTGGTTCTTGACATCCTCTCCAACAATTTTTTGAATAGTTTTTATTTATATGTGCTATTCTTACTGGTGTTAGGTACCATTTCCATATTAACTTGTAATAATTTCCTTTAACCTGTATTAATACATTTTTTAGACGTCTTTGTCTCCATAATTGTTGCCACTCTATTTCATTTATTTTTATCCCTAAATCATCCTCCCAGACCTCCTTGAGGGTGTTATTCTTTGTTTTTCCTTCCTTTATTTCAATTATTATCTTATATATTTTAGTAGTTATTCCCTTCAAATTTTCATGCTCCTCTATAACCCTTCCATTTTGTATTATTTGTTCAAATTGGTTAAGCTTACTTCCGTTTTTATTATTTTTTCCCCCAATTTTTAAACCATTGTTCTAATTGTATACAATGGAACCATGACAATTTTATTCCTCTAAATTCTTCCATAATCGTTTCCTTCTTCATTCCGAGGAGGAATTGTTTAAAGCTACAGACAGTGCAGTCAATGTGGCCCATTTTTGGTCTAAAATTATTTACCCACTTGGGCTCCTTCTGTTTTTATCAGTTTTATACTTATGTATGCAATTCTTTTAATACAAAATAAATAAACTGACCTGTTGAGAGTTTTCAGGGTAGAGCTGGAGAACGGCACGGGCCCCTCGAGCCTGGAGGAGGAAAAACAGGGGATCCAGAGCTGCGACACCATCAAAAAAAGGGCCAGGTAGTTTGGAAGATGGGAAAGGAAGCAGGAGAGGGAGGAAGGGTCCTTACCAATGCTGTATAAAGGGTGGAAAAGAACCGGTAGAGTCGCTTAGGAGGGCTGTGGGTCTTCTTGTCGGCGTTACAGAGCCACTGCACGGCGGAAATACTGCGGGGGAACAAAACCGAGACTTAAGCCCGCTCTCAGAAAGTACGGTCTCCCAGCAGATTTTATTGTTTCTTCCCTGCCTCTCTCTATGTCTGAAGGCAAGGAAAGACAACAGATAGCATAATGTATCAGTGAAAAGCAACAGAATGGGGGATGCCCGGCTCGAGAGCAGTACGTGTGAAAAAGATCTTGGAGTCCTCGTGGACAACAAGTTAAACATGAGCCAGGAATGTGATGTGGCGGCAAAAAAAGCCAATGGGATTTTGGCCTGCATCAATAGGAGCATAGTGTCTAGATCTAGGGAAGTCATGCTACCCCTCTATTCTGCTTTGGTTAGACCACACCTGGAATATTGTGTCCAATTCTGGGCACCACAATCAAGAGAGATATTGACCCTAAGCTGGAATGTGTCCAGAGGAGGGCGACTAAAATGATCAAGGGTCTGGAGAACAAGCCCTATGAGGAGCGGCTTAAGGAGCTGGGCATGTTTAGCCTGAAGAAGAGAAGGCTGAGAGGAGATATGATAGCCATGTATAAATATGTGAGAGGAAGCCACAGGGAGGGGGAGGGAGCAAGCTTGTTTTCTGCTTCCTTGGAGACTAGGACGCGGAACAATGGCTTCAAACTACAAGAGAGGAGATTCCATCTGAACATGAGGAAGAACTTCCTGACTGTGAGAGCCGTTCAGCAGTGGAACTCTCTGCCCCGGAGTGTGGTGGAGGCTCCTTCTTTGGAAGCTTTTAAACAGAGGCTGGATGGCCATCTGTCAGGTGTGATTTGAATGCAATATTCCTGCTTCTTGGCAGGGGGTTGGACTGGATGGCCCATGAGGTCTCTTCCAACTCTTTGATTCTATGATTCTATGAAAAGTGTGTAATAGAACCAGGAAATAAAGTATGATTTTTTTCCATATTCAGTATCTACAGTTGTACTTACCCACCTTGGAAGTATTTGTATCCTGGTCTTCATTGTTAAGTGCGTTGTTATTATTATTATTGACACAAAAAACACAATATGACCCAGCAAAGGAGATATATATGCTGGATTTTGTATCAAGAATAACAATAACAATAATAATCATAGCGCACTAAAGAACATAGAGCAGAACACTCACTTCCAAGATGAGTATTGTTGTTATTATCATTAATATTAAATTATTAAAATCGTCTGGGGAGGTCCTGCTCTTGATCCCACCTTTGTCATAAGTACATTTGGCAGGGACAAGAGACAGGGCATTCTCAGTGGTGGCCCCTTGGCTATGGAACACCCTCCTCGGGATATCAGATCAGCCCCCTCCCTTTTAACATTTTGGAAAAAAGTCAAGACGTCGCTTTTTGAGCAAGCGTTTCCAAATGCAGAGTAACTGACATAGGAAAATGAAACGACTAGACGATGGACTGGACAATGTTTAAACAAGGAGACGCTAATTATTTTTGTTTTATTGATTATTGTGGTTTTATATTATACCAGCTGTCCCCTGCTTGTGGGTAAACAGTATTTCTTGCTGTTTCTTTGTCAGGACAATGATATGTTGCCCACCCTGGAACATGCAACAAATAGTTGTCCTTCTTTAAGGGTCCCTTTCAAATCTATGATACTACATCTCTATGTGTGTGAATCATACCTATCTATCTATCTCAATGGCTGCATGGCTCTTTGTCAGGAGTACTTTGATTACATTTTCTTGCCCTGATGAAGGGAGCTGGATTGGATGGCCTTAAGTATTTTCTATTGTTCATTGGGGTTCCGTGTGGGAAGTTTGCCCTGATTCTGTCATTCATGGGGTTCAGAATGCTCTTTGATTGTATGTGAACTGTGAATCCCAGTGACTACAACTCCCAAATGTCAAGGTCTATTTCCCCCAAACTCCATCTTTGTTAATATTTGGGCATATTCAGTGCTTGTGCTAAATTTGGTCCAGATTCATCATTGTTTGAGTCCACAGTGCTCTCTGGATGTAGGTGAACTACAACTCCAAACCCCTTCCAGTATTTTCTGTTGATCATGGGAGTCCTGTGCACCAGGCTTGGTTCAAGTCCATCGTTGGTGGAGTTCAGACTGCTCTTTGATTGTAGGTGAACTATAAATCCCAGCAACTACAACTCCCAAATGATAAAATCATAATTTTTTGAGTGATGGTCACTCCTTGTGTTGTGAGACATTTTGTTGCCAAATTTGGTATGATTTCGTTCATTGGTTCTTTTGTTTTTAAGGTACTCATTATGCATATATATATATATATATATATATATATATATATATATTATTGTATTTATGATATTGTGTGCATTGAATTGTTGCCTGTAAAGTGCCTTGAGTTGCCTGCAGGCTGAGAAAGGCGGTATACAAATACAGCAAATAATAAATACATGATATGACTAAATTATTTTTATTAAATCATTCTTATTAAATTTTTATTATGATATTATTATTATATTTATACCCTGCTTTATCTCCCCAAATGGGACTCAAAGCTATTTTGAGTAGATTTTGTATTGTATTGTTTTATATTGTGTGTTTCTGACCCAAATATATCCAAAATATAGATCTCAGTCCCAAAGTCTTACCTGATACAGCCGTCAAAGGTCCCGGGCCGGAAGCGGACCCCTTGCCCCATGTCTGCAAGCATCAAGTCTCCTTCCACTTCTCTCTCCACAGCCACATCTGTTTGAAAAAAAATGCTGTAAGAATTTAATATAAAATAGAACGCAAATGTTGCAAGACATATAAAAACCACTACGTTATTTGAAAAGGCCAAAACAGTAAACAAAGAAAACATTCATGTGCACAGATCAGGACCTAAACGATTGTATAAAAAGGCATGTTTCAGCTTGCTGCCAGAATGAGGCCAATGGAAGTGCCAATTGAGTCTCCAAGAGGACCAAGTAGATCGTGGGCTTCTCAATTTCCACCCATTCCAAGGAAAGAAGTCTAAAGTAACTCCGGCAGAAGGGATGGAAACTACTCACCCAGCATGGCAGGGCTGATGTCCAAGCCAACCCAAAAGTGGCCTTCCTCAGTGATGTAATCGCCACTCAAACCGGAGCCACACCTGACCAGAAGAAAAAAATATTGTCAAGAAAATACCTACATCTACTTCTTTCAGGCCTCACCACGTCTCATGCTGGAAAAGTCAGGTGAGCTTTTCCATATTCTCTTTGAGCTGCTTAAGTAGGTGCAAGTTTGGACTGAGATCATGATAGAAAAAGGGATCCTGGCTTTTTGTGTTTGCTTTCTTTAATAGTGCAGTTATCCCTTCTTCCACAAATTGTACCACTATTCAGAGACAGTGTCTGGAAGTTATATTTAGATACTCCCCTGCTACGTCAGCTCCACTGGCTCCCTGTCCACTTCCGAGCTCAATTCAAAGTGCTGGTTTTGACCTATAAAGCTCTATACGGTTCTGGCCCAGCTTATTTGTCTGAACGCATCTGCCTCTACGACCCACCTCGTAACTTAAGATCATCCAGGGAGGCCCTACTCTCGCTCCCACCAACATCACAAATGTGGCTGGTGGGGACGAGAGACAGGGCCTTCTCGGTGGTGGCCCCCCGCCTGTGGAACACGCTTCCGAGCGAGATACAATCAATCCCATCCCTCCTGGCTTTCAGGAAGAAAGTAAAATCATGGCTATGGGACCAGGCTTTTAGTCAGCAGACATAAATTAGCAATTTAGTGGAAATGGATTGGAAAGTGATTTACATGAGGATATGATTCTATTTGGTAACAAATGTTTTTACCGTATAAGTATAAGCCGACCCGAATAAAAGCCGAGGCACCTAATTTCACCACAGAAAACTGGGAAAATGTATTGACTCGGGTATAAGCCGAGGGTGAGAAATGAAGCCGCTACTGGTAAATTTCAAAATAAAAATAGATAGCAATAAAATTACATTAATTGAGGCATCAGGAGGTGAAATGGTGTTGAATATTTACATAAAATTGTAATTTGAGATAAGACTGCCCAACTCTGATTAAATCATTATTCTAACCTTCTTCAATGTAAATGTATTTATGTATCCTTCCAACAATAATAGAGTAAAGTAATGAATGTAATAATAATAATAATAATAAAGCAAAATAATGGAACTTCAATAATAACAGTAATAATAAGAGTAAAATAATAAATGCAATAATAATAAAGTATAATAAATGTAATAATAATCATCATAACAATAGAGTAAAATACTGTAAACGTAATAAAATAATACATGAAATAAAAATAATACTAATAACAGAATAAAATAATAAATAACCTTGACTCGAGTATAAAAAAAAGGGGGCTGAAAATCTCAAGTCGCTCCTGACATGACAAAAAAGTAAATCTAGACTTATACTCGAGTATATACAGTATATTGTTTAATTAATGGCTTGTATATTTTATGTATTTTATATATTTCAATGGTTTGATTGTTTGTTTAATGGTTATTGTATTAATTGTTCATGTAACAGCATCGAATTGCTGCCTATGTAAGCTGTCCTGAGTCCCCCTTTTGGGGTAGAGAACAGACGGGATATAAAACCGCGTTGAGCTGCCTACGGGCTGAGAAACTGCGGTATACAAATAAAGTAAATAAATAAATAAATAAATAAACAAACACCATAAATAAATAAATAAGATCCAGGTCAGCTTAAATAGTCCAATCCCAGGAAAGAATGATGTTTTCAAACGAGAGGAAACTCACCCCACATCCAACAAGAAACATGGCCGATCCTCTGGGAGGCCCAGCAGCTCCACAGCCCGTTCAGACATCTGCGACTGGATCTCCATCATGCGAGAGCTGGGAAGGGAAAGAAGAAGCACACCAAGAGGAGGCCGTAATGAAGAACTACCCTAGGGTGGATGTTGTACATAACGGTAACTTATTTCACAGCACTTGGAATAAATAAGCCAAACAAAGAAACAAGTGGATTTCGACAACCCAGGCCCGCCTTACTTGTGGGTGTATTTCCGAGCTTCGACCTCATCATAGAACTGAAGGAAAAAAGCAGAAAAGGAAGATTGTTAAAGGGAAACCGTATACAAAGCTCTGCTTAATCACATCAGTCTCATTATTCTCTTCCAGATAATCAATATTGTACGTACTATCTTATATAAATAAAAATGTAATGTTCGTTTGTGGGATTAACAGAACTCAAAAGCCAGAGGTAGTGAGGATGCTTGCCATAGATGCAGGTGAAACGTCAGGAGAGAATGCCTCTATACCATGGCCATATAGCCCGAAAAAACCTACAACAACCCATATTATTATTATTATTATTAGTAGTAGTAGTATATTATATTACATTATAATATTATAAATATTATATGTACATACAATATATTATATTATTAGTAAAGCAATATAGGAGCCCCCGGTGGCGCGGTGGGTTAAACCCTTGTGCCGGCAGGGCTGAAGACCGACAGGTCTCAGGTTTGAATCCGGGGAGAGGCGGATGAGCTCCCTCTATCAGCTCCAGCTCCTCATACGGGGACATGAGAGAAGCCTTCCACAAGGATGATAAAAACATCCCTGGACAACGTCCTTGCAGACGGCCAATTCTCTCACACCAGAAGTGACTTGCAGATTCTCAAGTCGCTCCTGACATGACAAAAAAGTAAAGCAATATAATAATAGTAAAGCAATATAATAATAATAATAATAATAATAATAATAGTAAAACAATATAATAATAATAATAATAATAATAATAATAATAATAAAGCAATATAATACTAATAATAATGCTGGCTCTTCTGTGGCGAGAGAATCAGCCGTCTACGAGGACGTTGCCCAGGGGACGCCCGGATGTCTTGCAATCCTGCGAGGAGGCTTCTCTCATGTCCCCCAGACAACAAGAGATTGAGAACAACAACCTTCATGCACCCCTTACATCTATTGAATTGGACATGGCTCTCAATAAATGGAAAAATGGCAAAGCAGCTGGCCTGGATGATCTACGGATGGAACAAATCAAGAACTTTGGTCCCAAAGCAAGGCGCTGGCTGCTGGAGCTGATGAACAACTGCACGGCATCCTGTGAGACCCCCAAAATCTGGAGGAAAGCAAGAGTCATCGCCATCTTGAAGCCAGGCAAAGACTGTAATGACCCAAAAAGATACAGACCAATCTCCCTGTTGTGCCACCTCTACAAAGTTCTGGAGAGACTTATTTTGCATAGAATTATGGAAAAAATAGACCCATGTCTGATTCCACAGCAAGCTGGCTTCAGGAAAGGCAAAAGCTGCGCATCGCAAGTGCTGAACCTGACTCAGGACATAGAAGATGGCTTTGAAAGGCAGCAGATCACAGGAGCTGTCTTCATAGACCTGTCAGCAGCCTATGATACTGTGAACCACCGCCTCCTCCTGAGAAAAATGTATAATATCACAAAAGGACGACCACCTCACCCGCCTCATAGGAAACCTGCTACAAAACAGGAGCTTCTTTGTTGAGTTCCAGGGCCAGAGAAGCTGAGGGAGGAAACAGAAGAATGGCCTGCCTCAGGGGAGCGTACTTGCTCCCTCCATGTGCAACATCTACACAAATGACCAGCCACTGCCAGAAGGGACAGAGAGTTTCATCTATGCTGACGATCCTGCCATCACCGTTCAAGCAGGGAGCTTTGAGATGATTGAACAGAAGCTCTCCGAAGCTCTAGGTGCTCTTACTGCCTATTACAGGGAAAACCAGCTGATCCCTAATCCATCTAAAACACAGACATGTGCCTTTCATCTCAAGAACAGAGAAGCATCCCGAGCTCTGAGGATCACCTGGGAAGGAATCCCACTGGAGCATTGCAGCGCACCCAAATACCTGGGAGTCACTCTGGACCGTGCTCTTACCTACAAGAAGCACTGCCTGAACATCAAGCAAAAAGTGGGTGCTAGAAACAATATCATATGAAAGCTGACTGGCACAACCTGGGGATCACAACCAGACACAGTGAAGACATCTGCCCTTGCGCTGTGCTACTCTGCTGCTGAGTATGCATGCCCAGTGTGGAACACATCTCACCACACTAAAACAGTGGATGTGGCTCTTAATGAGACATGCCGCATTATCACGAGGGGTCTGCGCCCCACACCACTGGAGAAATTACACTGCTTAGCCGGTATTGCACCACCTGACATCCGCCGGGAAGTAGCAGCCAATAGTGAAAGGACCAAGGCAGAGACATCTCCAGCTCATCCCCTGTTTGGGCATCAGCCAGCACGTCAACGACTTAAATCAAGAAATAGTTTTCTAAGATCTACAGAGACACTCGCTGGAACACCTCAGCAAGCGAGAGTCCAAAAGTGGCAGGCCCAAACCCAGCACCTCAAGCAATGGCTGATACCAGATGAGAGACTCCCCCCTGGGCACAGAGGACTGGGCGACTTGGAAGGCATTGAACAGACTGCGTTTTGGCACCACGAGATGCAGAGCCAACCTTCAGAAATGGGGCTACAGGGTGGAATCCTCGGCATGCGAGTGTGGAGAGGAGCAAACCACTGACCACCTGCTGCAATGCAACCTGAGCCCTGCCACATGCACCATGGAGGACCTTCTCGCAGCAACACCGGAAGCACTCCAAGTGGCCAGATACTGGTCAAAGGACATTTAACCAACTACCAAACTCACAAGTTTTGTATTTTTCTGTTTGTTTGCTTTGTTCTATTAGAAATGTAATATAATGGACTGGTTGCTCTGACATGACAAATAAAAAAAAATAATAAAAAAATATTATTATATTGTACTATACCATTATATTAGTAATGGAGCCCCCAGTGGTGCAATGGGTTAAACCCCTGTGCCGGCAGGACTGAAGACCGACAGGTAGCATTTTCAAATCTGGGGAGAGGCGGATGAGCTCCCTCTATCAGCTCCAGCTCCTCATGTGGGGACATGAGAGAAGTCTCCCACATGGATAATAAAAACATCAAATCATCCGGGCATCCCCTGGGCAACGTCCTTGCAGACGGCCAATTCTCTCACACCAGAAGCGACTTGCAGTTTCTCAAGTCGCTCCTGACATGACAAAAAAGTAAAGCAATTTAATAATAATAATAATAATAATAATAGTAAAGCAATATAATAATAATAATCTCTTCTCTTTCTTCTTTCTCTTAGGCGATCCCTCGTTGGACGAGTAAGATGGTCTTCCTTGATGACTATTTTTGTGGGTTTGTAGGTGGCTGTGGAGCCCTCTTCTTGACCCGCATCTTCTCCCACAGTGAAGGCATTGGTTTCCAGGTGGAAGGCGGTCTCGGTCGGGGTTGGCTTAACGCACCTTCCTCTTGGCACGTTTCTCTCTTTCACCCTCCACTCATGCCTCCTCGAATTCTGAAGCACTGCTGGTCACAGCTGACCTCCAGCTGGAGCGCTCAAGGGCCAGGGCTTCCCAGTTCTCAGTGTCTATGCCAGAGTTTTTAAGGTTGGCTTTGAGGCCATCTTTCAATCTCTTTTCCTGTCCTCCAACATTCCATTTTCCGTTCTTAAGTTCAGAGTAGAGCAACTGCTTTGGGAGACTGTGGTCAGGCATCCGGGCAACGTGGCCGGCCCAGCGGAGTTGATGGCAGAGGACCATCGCTTCAATGCTGGTGGTCTTTGCTTCTTCCAGCACACTGACGTTCGTCCGCTTGTCTTCCCAAGAGATTTGCAGGATTTTCTGGAGGCAGCGCTGATGGAATCGCTCCAGTCCCCGTCTCACAGGCATAGAGCAGGGCTGGGAGGGGAATAGCTTTATAGACAAGCACCTTGGTATCCCTACGGATGTCCTGATCCTCAAACACTCTCTGCTTCATTTGGGAAAATGCTGCACTCACAGAGCTCAGGCGGTGTTGTATTTCAGTGTCGATGTTGACTTTGGTGGAGAGGTGGCTGCCAAGGTAGCGGAAATGGTCAACATTTTCTAATGCTACACCATTAAGCTGCATCTCTGGCATTGGGGAGGGGATGGCTGGTGTCTGCTGGAAAAGCACCTTGGTTTTCTCGATGTTCAGTGACAGGCCAAGCTTCCCGTATACTTCTGCAAAGGTGTTTAGAGTGGCTTGTAGATCTTCTTCTGAATGCGCACAGACGACATTGTCATCAGCATACTGGAGTGCTATAACAGATGTTGTTGTAACTTTGGTTTTGGCTTTCAGTCTGCTGAGGTTAAAGAGCTTGCCATCTGTCCGATAGATGATTTCCACTCCGGTGGGAAGCTTCCCATATTATATTATTAGTACAGCAATATAATAACAATAGTTAAGCAATATAATAATTATAATAATGGGACAGAAATGTAGAAAAGGTTAGAGCAGAGCTTGGCAAAGTTTTTCCACCTTTTTTGAGGACTACAACTCCCAGAATCCTCTCCCACAGGAGCCTGTCATGGAGATTCTGGGAGAGGCAGTGCCAAATGGAAGCCACCTTCTAAGGGACTGGCTTGCTTGCCCAGCTTCACCCCAAACCTTCCCTGAATCTCCCTTTCGAGTCTTTCCCTTCTTTTCCTCACCAGTTCAGGAGGACCACGATGCTCCGGCCGCTTCCCAGAGGCCGCCATTTTTGTCCCGGCTTCCTTACGTCAAAAGTACGCGACGCACTCTGGAGACGTTTCAGAGTTAGGGGCTTGGGCCAATCCCGCGGGGGCTGGCGCGCACGCGCAGAGCAATCTCTAGAGTGAGGGCGAAGTGCGCACGCGCACCTCGAAGGAGGCCTCCACACCGGCGCATGCGCACCTCGCTCCCTCCACGTGAGGCGACGTCTCCTGACGTGGCGAGCGGAGGAGGGAAGATGGAGGCGGTGCCGCTGCCGCTGGCGGGCCTCTCGCTGCTCTTCGGCGGCCTCCTCGCCCTGCTCTTCCTGCTCCAGCGGTGGAGAAGCGGCCCGAGCCGCGAGGAAGCCGAGCCCATCGCGAAGGGCCGAGGCCAGGCCGAGCAGGAGCCCAGCGGCGCCGGAGAAGGTGAGGGGGCGGGGCCTCGGGACTCTAAGCCACGCCCACGCTCCTCCTTCAAACCCATCTATACCGACGATCATGCCATCACCGCCAAAGCAGTTTTCGATCTATTTTGCTTCATGTTTTCTAGATTTAGACAGTGAGACATCCAGCAAAACCTCTCTGGTGAAGAAACAGAAGCAGCACCAGCGTCTCCGGAAAGAGAAACCTCAGCAGCACAGCTTTGCCCACCCCCTCCTGGCAGCCGCACTGAAGGTGAGCCCTGACAGATTGATCCAGTTTGGTGTCACTTTTAACTGCTGTGGGAGTTGTAGTTTGGTGAGGCACTGACACTATTCAATAGAGAATAATAATAATAATAATAATAATAATAATAATAATAATGGAGCCCCCGGTGGCACAGAGGGTTAAACCCCTGTGCCGGCAGGACTGAAAACTGAAAGGTTGCAGGTTGGAATCCAGGGAGAGGCGGATGAGCTCCCTCTATCAGCTCCAGCTCCTCACGCGGGGACATGAGGGAAGCCTCCCGCAAGGATGATAAAAACATCAAACCATCCGGGCGTTCCCTGGGCAATGCCCTTGCAGACGGCCCTTCTCACACCAGAAGCGACTTGCAGTTTCTCAAGTTGCTCCTGACATGACAATAATAATAATAATAATAATAATAATAATAATTGTTGTTCATTCGTTCAGTCGTCTCCGACTCTTCGTGACCTCATGGACCAGCCCACGCCAGAGCTCCCTGTCGGCCGTTACCACCCCCAGCTCCTTCAAGGTCAGTCCAGTCACTTCAAGGATGCCATCCATCCATCTTGCCCTTGGTCGGCCCCTCTTCCTTTTGCCTTCCACTTTCCCCAGCATCATTGTCTTCTCTAGGCTTTCCTGTCTCCTCATGATGTGGCCAAAGGACTTCAACTTTGTCTCTAGTCTCCTTCCCTCCAGTGAGCAGTCGGGCTTTATTTCCTGGAGGATGGACTGGTTGGATCTTCTCGCAGTCCAAGGCACTCTCAGCACTTTCCTCCAACACCACAGCTCAAAAGCATCATCTTCCTTCGCTCAGCCTTCCCTAAGGTCCAGCTCTCACATCCATAGGTGACTACAGGGAATACCATGGCTTTGACTAGGCAATGGATCTTGGTTGCCAGTCTGATGTCTCTACTCTTTACTATTTTATCGAGATTGGTCATTGCTCTCCTCCCAAGAAGTAAACATATTCTGATTTCCTGGCCACAGTCTGCGCCTGCAGTAATCCTTGCGACTAGAAATACAAAGTCTGTCACTGCCTCCACATTTTCTCCCTCTATTTCCCAGTTGTCAATCATTCTTGTTGCCATAATCTTGGTTTTTTTGACGTTTAGCTGCAACCCGGCTTTTGCGCTTTCTTCTTTCACCTTGATTAGAAGGCTCCTCAGCTCCTCCTCGCTTTCGGCCATCAGAGTGGTGTCATCTGCATATCTGAGGTTGTTAATGTTTCTTCCAGCAATTTTCACCCCAGCTTTGCATTCATCCAGCCCCGCACATCGCATGATGTGTTCTGCATACAAGTTAAAAAGGTTGGGTGAGAGGATGCAGCCTTGCCGTACGCCTTTCCCAATCTTGAACCAGTCTGTTGTTCCGTGGTCAGTTCTGACTGTTGCTCCTTGGTCCTTGTACAGATTCCTCAGGAGAGAGGGAAGGGGGCTTGGGATGCCCATCCCACCAAGAACTTGCCACAATGTATTATGATCCACACAGTCAAAGGCTTTAGAATAGTCAATGAAGCAGAAGTAGATGTTTTTCTGAAACTCCCTGCCTTTCTCCATTATCCAGCGGATATTGGCAATCTGGTCTCTCGTTCCTCTGCCTTTTCTAAACCCAGCTTGAACATCTGGCAACTCTCGCTCCATGTATTGCTGGAGTCTTCCTTGCAGGATCTTGAGCATTACCTTACTGGCATGAGAAATAAGGGCCACTGTACGGAAGTTGGAGCAGTCTTTCGCATTTCCCTTTTTTGGTATGGGGATATAAGTTGATTTTTTCCAGTCTGATGGCCATTCTTGCGTTTTCCATAATAATAATAATAAACTTTGTTTATATCCAGCTCCCCCCCACCACCACCACCCGGGGGACTCGGTGCGGCTTACATGAGGCCAAGCCCATCAGTGCAGTACATACATTGTAATACAAAAACACAACAATAAAGAACATAAATATGGACTGGACTAAGTTGGACATGATTTTATCCTGGTGAACGGCTTTTATGTAATTTTATGTAATTTATGTAATGTAATTGGCAACTTAATGTTGTGTATTATGTTTTAGATTTTCAGTGTTATTTATTTATTTATTTACTGTATTTGTATACTGCCTTTCTCAGCCAATCGGTGACTCAAGGCAATTTCCAACAAATCAGTACATATAAAACCATAATACAGATTAAAACATTAAACAATATAAAACACCACAAAAGCAATAAAAACAACATTATTAGCATCTCATTATTATCAAGCATTGTCCAGTTCCATTGTCAAATCGTTCGATTTCCTATATATCTGTATTTGCAAACGCTTGTTTGAACAGCCGTGTTTTAACTTGCCTCAGAAACATTAAGAGGGAGGGAGCAGATCTGATCTCCCTAGGGAGGGTGTTCCATAGCCGAGGGGCCACCACTGAGAAGGTTCCCGCCAAACGTCCCCGCCAAACGTACTTTAGTGTTAGCATTGAATCTTTGCTGTAGCCGGTCTGAGTCCCTCTGCAGAGGTAGAGAAGATTGGAATATAAAAGTTTTAAATAAATATATAAAATGCAAAGAAATATAATAAGCAACACAGATAATATAATACATGCATTTAAAAACAGAGAATATCACTGGGCAGGGCCGCATTCAGGCTAAAAAATTTAAAAACTGGGAGATAGGACAATATAGATCATGAGGAAGAGGATCCGGGAATGAGGGAGGATTCAATTGCATGAACCATAAATAAAGTGCTTCTAAGGACGTTTAGTGCAAAGTTTGGTCAGGGAGTTCTTACATTCAATCACTGAAGGCACATTGGAATAGCCAGGTTCCTCCTGAAGATTGCTAGTGTGGCGGCTTGCCTAATATCTCTAGGGAGTGAGTTCCAGAACCAGGGAGCCACCACAGAGAAGGCCCTCTCTCTCGTCCCCGCAAGTCGCACTTGAGACGCAGGCAGGAGCGAGAGAAGGGCCTCTCCAGAAGATCAAAGAGATAGTGTGGGTTTGTAAATGGAGATACGGTCGCGCAGGTAGGCGGGTCCCAAACCGTTCAGGACTTTATAGGAATTGCTTTAGGAATTGTGGGAGTTAAAGTTCAAAACACCTAGAGGGCTGAAGTTGGCCCAGGTCTGTTGTTTTGCTTCCTCTCCCCATCGCAAGACGTCTCTGTCTGGAGAGACCGAGAATCCCATGGCTCTCTCTCTCTGGTTCTCCTTCCCTCCCTCAGGGCCACAGCGGGAGCGTCACCTGCCTCGACTTCAGCAGCAACGGGAAGTACCTGGCGTCCTGCTCCGATGACCGGACTGTGCGGATATGGAGCACCAAGGACTTCCTGGAGCGGGAGCATCGCTACATGCGGGCCAACGTGGAGCTGGACCATGCCACTTTGGTCCGCTTCTACCCAGACTCCAAGTAAGGGGGCAGCTTACTTATTATTATTATTATTATTATTATTATTATTAACTTTATTTGTACCCCGCTAGCATCTCCCGAGGGACTCGATGCGGCTTACACAGGCCGAAGCCTCAGAACACAATACAGTAAAAACATAACACAACAATAAACAAAGCAAATCAAAATAGTTAAGCAGAATAACAACAACAGTGACAATACATCAGGACACTTTAAAACTGGGCCGGCCAGAGCAATGGGGTACAGGGTTAAAAGTGCTGAAATGGCAGGAGGCACGTAGGATTAAAATAGTGCGGTGTGCAGCAATATTAATTGTACTAAAGTGCTTCTAGGACTTGGGATGGGGAAACTGCTGCTCTGGCCAGAATGAAGAGAGGGGGCTACAGTTGAAGACAGTTCCATCTTGTCTCCATCTCCTTGTTACTAATAATATAATATATTGTATATAAATATAATATCCATAATATTATAATGTAATACAACATAATACTAATAATATAATATTATAATTATATATATTTATTACATGTAATATAACTAATAATATTACAATATGATGGGGTAGTACAATTTTACTTACTTAGGCGATCCCTCGTTGTCTGAGTAGGATAATCCTCCAGGGTGGGTCCATAGCTGGCTGTGGAGCCCTATCTTGATCTGCATCTTCTCCCACAGTGAGGGCATTGGTTTCCAGGAAGGCGGTCTCGGTCAGGGTTGGCTTGACGTGCCTTCCTCTTGGCACGTTTCTCTCTTTTGCCCTCCATTCATGCCTCTTCAAATTCCACAGCTCTGCTGGTCACAGCTGACCTCCAACTGGAGCGCTCGAGGGCCAGGGCTTCCCAGAGTTTTTAAGATTGGCTATGAGCCCATCTTTCAATCTCTTTTCCTGCCCGGCAACATTCCGTTTTCTGTTCTTGAGTTCGGAGTAGAGCAACTGCTTTGGGAGACGGTGGTCAGGCATCCGGACAACGTGGCCATTCCAGCAGAGCTGATGACGGAGGACCATCGCTTCAGTGCTGGTGGTCT